CCCCGATAAGCAAGACTTGGAACCACCCCACATACGCCGCCTTTAAGGGTTTAAGGGGGTTTAAAATTCGGTGTTACATATATATTTGCTTCTTGAAACTGACGAACACTTACCCCCCGATAAGCAAGACTTAGAACCACCCCACATACGCAGCCTTTAAGGGTTTCAGGGGGTATAAAATTGAGCGTTACATATACATTTGCTTCTTGAAACTGACGAACACGTACCCCTCGATAAGCAAGACTTAGAACCACCCCGCATACGCCGCCTTTAAGGGTTTAAGGGGGTGTAAAATTCGGTGTTACATATATATTTGCTTCTTGAAACTGAGGAACACTTCCCCCCCGATAAGCAAGACTTGGAACTACCCCACATACGCCGCCTTTAAGGGTTTAAGGGGGTTTAAAATTCGGTGTTACATATATATTTGCTTCTTGAAACTTACGAACACTTCCCCCCCGATAAGCAAGACTTAGCACCACCCCACATACGCAGCCTTTAAGGGTTTAAGGGGGTTTACAATTTGCTTGTTGAAACTTACGAACACTTACCACCTCGATAAGCAGGACTTAAAACCACCCCACGTACGCAGCCTTTAAGGGTTTAAGGGGTTCAAAATTCAGTGTTACATATATATTTGCTTCTTGAAACTTACGAACACCTACCCCCCGATAAGCAAGACTTGGGACCACCCCACATACGCAGCCTTTAAGGGTTTAAGCGGGTTTAAAATTCGGTGTTACATATATATTTGCTTCTTGAAACTGACGAACACTTCCCCCCCGATAAGCAAGACTTAGCACCACCCCACATACGCAGCCTTTAAGGGTTTAAGAGGGTTTAAAATTCGGTCTTACATACATATTTGTTCCTGAAACTTAAGAACATCTACCCCCCGATAAGCAAGACTTAGAACCACCCCACATACGCGGCCTTTAAGGGTTTAGGGGGGTTTAAAATTCAGTGTTACATATATATTTGCTTTTTGAAACTTAAGAACACTTACACCCGGATAAGCAAGACTTGGAACCTGCAGACAACAACAAACACGTCTGTCGCAAAACCCCGGCCGTTGATGCATAGCCTCCGTAATGGGGTATGTCGCGTGTGCGGGCCGCGGCCCTATTACAAGCAATCAATACTGGCATGCGGCCATATGTATGTCCTAGAAGTTACAGCACATGTAAAAAGAATATGATATGTTTCATGTTGTTGTAATAGTTTAAGCACAAACACGGTGGACCGATAACAGTACCACCATGTCGTCTGTGCTGTTTAGTGTGCAGTTGGCGAGATAACAATACACAAACAAGAGAGGGGGAGACGGTGGACCGAAAGCAGTACCACCGTGTTCAGGGACCGAAAACAGTACCCCGCTTTCCCGGAGACCGAAAACAGTACTCCGAGTTGAGTTAACACTGCATTCACTGTAGGCTCCGCGCATTCGATGGTGAGAATCAAAAGCCACCATACCTGACGCCAGACTTTATTTTAATATTAATGTAAAAAAGCGCGCTGTAGAGTTCAAATCATTATACCTTCCGGTCCCTATAGGGTTTTAAGCTACTAACCCTAAAGAGTCTAAATAATTCAAATCCAGATTTAAATGATTTAAGATATTTGAATTATTTAAATTATTTGAGTTTGTGAAGTTTTTTAAATTATTTAAATGGTTTCGGCTAGGAGAAATTCTCGACCTATTTAAATTCTTTAATTTATTTAAATTCACGCGCCTCGAAACTAATTTAAATAATTTAAATCCCGAATTAAATTATGTAAATTCGCGGGCCTCAAAACTAATTTAAATATTCAAATCGCGATTTAAATTATTTAAATTTTTTCCGAGCTCGTGAACTTAAATAATTTAAATAATGTAAATAATTCAAATCGAATGAGGCTTTCTCCGAACCCAGACCATTTAGATAACTTAAATAATTTAAATAATTTAAATAATTTAAATCCTGATTTGAATTATTTGAATTAGTTTCGAGGCCCGGGAATTTAAATAATTTAATTCTGTATTTAAATTAGTTAAATTAGTTTCCGGGCCCGCGAATTTGAATAATTTAAATCTCGAATTAAATTATTTAAATTCGCGGGCCTCAAAACTAATTTAAATAATTTAATTCGGGATTTAAATTATTTAAATTAGTTTCCGGGCCCGCGAATTTAAAAAATTAAAAGAATCTAAATAGATCCAGATTTTCTCCCAGCACAGACCATTTAACTAATTTAAATATTTTAAATAATTTAAATCGGGATTTGAATTATTTAAATTAGTTTGGAGGCCCGCGAATTTAAATAATTTAATTCTGTATTTAAATTAGTTAAATTAGTTTCCGGGCCCGCGAATTTAAATAGTTTAAATCTCGAATTATATTATTTAAATTCGCGGGCCCGGAAACTAATTTAAATAATTTAATTCGGGATTTGAATTATTTAAATTAGTTTCCGGGCCCGCGAATTTAAATAATTTAAAGAATCTAAATAGATCCAGATTTTCTCCCAGCAGAGACCATTTAACTAATTTAAATAATTTAAATAATTTAAATATTTTAAATCAGGATTTGAATTATTTAAATTAGTTTGGAGGCCCGCGAATTTAAATAATTTAATTCGGTATTTAAATTAGTTAAATTCGTTTCCGGGCCCGCGAATTTAAATAATTTAAATCTCGAATTAAATTATTTAAATTCGCGGGCCTCCAAACTAATTTAAATAATTCAAATCCTGATTTAAATTATTTAAATTATCTAAATTATTTAAATTAGTTAAATGGTCTGTGCTGGGAGAAAATCTGGATCTATTTAGATTCTTTAAATTATTTAAATTCGTGGGCCCGGAACTAATTTAAATAATTTAAATCCCGAATTAAATTATTTAAATTCGCGGGCCCGGAAACTAATTTAAATAATTTAATTCGGGATTTAAATTATTTAAATTAGTTTCCGGGCCCGCGAATTTAAATAATTTAAAGAATCTAAATAGATCCAGATTTTCTCCCAGCACAGACCATTTAACTAATTTAAATAATTTAAATAATTTAAATAATTTAAATCGGGATTTGAATTATTTAAATTAGTTTGGAGGCCCGCGAATTTAAATAATTTAATTCGAGATTTAAATTATTTAAATTCGCGGGCCCGGAAACTAATTTAACTAATTTAAATACCGAATTAAATTATTTAAATTCGCGGGCCTCCAAACTAATTTAAATAATTCAAATCCCGATTTAAATTATTTAAATTATTTAAATTATTTAAATTAGTTAAATGGTCTGTGCTGGGAGAAAATCTGGATCTATTTAGATTCTTTAAATTATTTAAATTCGTGGGCCCGGAAACTAATTTAAATAATTTAAATCCCGAATTAAATTATTTAAATTCGCGGGCCCGGAAACTAATTTAAATAATTTAATTCGGGATTTAAATTATTTAAATTAGTTTCCGGGCCCGCGAATTTAAATAATTTAAAGAATCTAAATAGATCCAGATTTTCTCCCAGCACAGACCATTTAACTAATTTAAATAATTTAAATAATTTAAATAATTTAAATAATTTAAATCGGGATTTGAATTATTTAAATTAGTTTGGAGGCCCGCGAATTTAAATAATTTAATTCGGTATTTAAATTAGTTAAATTCGTTTCCGGGCCCGCGAATTTAAATAATTTAAATCTCGAATTAAATTATTTAAATTCGCGGGCCTCCAAACTAATTTAAATAATTCAAATCCCGATTTAAATTATTTAAATTATTTAAATTAGTTAAATGGTCTGTGCTGGGAGAAAATCTGGATCTATTTAGATTTTTTAAATTATTTAAATTCGTGAGCCCGGAAACTAATTTAAATAATTTAAATCCCGAATTAAATTATTTAAATTCGCGGGCCCGGAAACTAATTTAAATAATTTAATTCGGGATTTAAATTATTTAAATTAGTTTCCGGGCCCGCGAATTTAAATAATTTAAAGAATCTAAATAGATCCAGATTTTCTCCCAGCACAGACCATTTAACTAATTTAAATAATTTAAATAATTTAAATAATTTAAATCAGGATTTGAATTATTTAAATTAGTTTGGAGGCCCGCGAATTTAAATAATTTAATTCGGTATTTAAATTAGTTAAATTAGTTTCCGGGCCCGCGAATTTAAATAATTTAAATCTCGAATTAAATTATTTAAATTCGCGGGCCTCCAAACTAATTTAAATAATTCAAATCCGGATTTAAATTATTTAAATTATTTAAATTATTTAAATTAGTTAAATGGTCTGTGCTGGGAGAAAATCTGGATCTATTTAGATTCTTTAAATTATTTAAATTCGCTGGCCCGGAAACTAATTTAAATAATTTAAATCCCGAATTAAATTATTTAAATTCGCGGACCTCGAAACTAATTTAAATAATTCAAATCCCGATTTAAATTATTTAAATTCTTTTCCGAGCCCGTGAATTTTAATAATTTACATAATTTAAATAATTCAAAATAGAATGAGGATTTCTCCGAACCCAGACCATTTAGATAATTTACATAATTTAAATAATTTAAATCCTGATTTAAATTATTTAAATTAGTTTCGAGGTCCGTGAATTTAAATAATTTAATTCGGTATTTAAATTAGTTAAATTAGTTTCCGGGCCCGCGAATTTAAATAATTTAAATCTCGAATTAAATTATTTAAATTCGCGGGCCTCAAAACTAATTTAAATAATTCAAATCATTTAATTCTTCCATATGTTCTCCATACATATAGAAAAACAGGTAGCAACATAGTACATAAAGGTCCCTCTCTCATATATGTATGTACATGATTGGTTTGCTTTACAGGTGGCAGTCCCACATGCGTACAGGCTTGGCAACGATACGGACCACGCGACGCCCGGGAGTCCAAAATTCAAGCCAGTCAGGCTTGCTGCCATCTCTCGCGGCTTTCGCAAGTGTTTCCCTCCTCCTTACGCGCCTGCAAGTTCAATTATCCCTAAAGCCTCAACCCTAAATTACTGTCTCAGCCAATCCTGCGCGCCAAGTCGCAACTGCATCGCCACAGTGAGCTTGTTATCCAGCTGCCTGATGTCAGCGTGGAGCGCAACCTGCATCGTGTAGGGTTTTATAAGGTTTTTAGGGTTTGTAGGGTCAATAGGGTGAATACGGATGAGGGGTTTATAGGGTTTATAGGGCTAGGGTTTATAGGGCTTAGGGAAGCAAGCCTTTCGTATCTGAAATGACCAGCAAGTATGAGCAAACTGATGCAGTTCATGCCCATCGGCCTGATCAATGGCCCTTGCTGGCCCTTTGCACCGTAGAATTCCATCGATAAACTCCTTTCTCTTGCTGTGCCAGGCGATTAGGTCATCAGGGGTTTCGGGTTTAGGGTTCAGTCTGTGCAGCAACCCCTTCGCAGGCACTTGCGCGTCCTCCAATGTGACTTCGCCATCACCATTGTCCTTGCTGGATTGCACATGCGTGCGTGTGCAACCGGCCCTTCGAAACACCCAATCGTCTTCATGAATTGTGTGCCAAGAGGACGTCACTCTGCAACTCTGCATTACATGAGCACACCTGGTTAAACAGCCATTGGTTCAAACACGTGTTCAAAATCACAGAAAGGTAGGGGCATGGGGGAGGGGGGGGTGGCAGCATAGCAGATGTATATATATATATATATACATATATGTATACACATTTATAATCGCAGGAGTGATGAGCAGCTTCTGCCGGGGCACCAGGATATGGAACAAGGCTGTGCCCTCGGGCACGGCCAGGTCCAGCGTCTCCAGATAAGCTCGCACAGTCCTCTTAAGGTTTTGGGGTTTAAGCCTTTATGGGTCTGGGATTCGTAGGGGTTTAGGATTTTGGTGTTTAGGACATGAGGGTTTAAGGGTTTAGGGGTTTAGGGGTTTAGGGGTTTAGGGGTTTAGGGGTTTAGGGGTTTAGGGGTGCAGGACTTTAGGGCTTTTAGCGTCTAGGGGTCTAGGGTAGAAAGGTTTAGGGGTTGAGGGCTTAGGCACACACAGGACCCCGAACCTACCCCGTGTAAGCTATTGCCAATGGAGACCCACCCAGAAAAAGGTAGGGCTTGGGATTGCTGTTTATGAAAGACGCTCACGACTCTCAGGCCCCAAACCCGACAAAAACCCTATAAACCCTTAACCCTAAAAAAACCCTAAGCCCTGAACCCTATAAACCCTAAACCCTATGAAACCCTCCCCTAAACCCTAAACCCCAAACCCTAAGCCCTGAACCCTATAAAACCCTAAACCTTCTGAAACCCTCTGAGACTCTTTGGCCGGGCCACGAGTTGCTCAGCAAGGCATTCAATCGCTCTTCGGTGATCATGCCATTGCCGGTGTCATCGATCGCCTATCCGCAGGCTCTCAGAGGGTTTAGGGGAGCATCTTCGGGAACTATAGCCCCCAACCCTAAACCCTAAACCCCAAACCCTTGACCCTAAGGCCTGAACCCCAAACCCTAAACCCATCCATGGCCTTGAACATGGCCTCCAGCTTCTCCACCTAAACCACGTGTGGGCACAGATGTCGTCTGCCGTGGGCTCAGATGACTCGGTTTAGGGTGTAGGGTTTAGGGTTTATCAGGTTCAGGGTAGCCATTCCAAGGGCCGCGCGTATTGTGCTTTCCTCTTCAGCTTCTCTGTGACTTGGTGCTCCGCATCGTTCGCAGCGGCTTCCAAGGTGTCCTGTTGGGAAGATGAACACACGCGCGGGGCCGTGGCAGTGACATCTTAGGATGTTCCCCTTTCTACTCACAGTCCTTAGTCGGGATTGTAGTGGGGGGAGTACAATAATCCCTTTTAAGGACTGATAGTATAAGTAGGGGGTAGTATAACAATCCCTTTTAAGGACTGTCAGTATAAGGGGGAACATCCCAAGTGAAGTGTCAAGTGACCATCACGCAAGCCTTGAGGAATACGGCCGTGATGACGCGCAACGCGGCGAAGGTTACAATGGTGATGTACAGGATGAATGGAATCCTTGCTTCTTATTGCATCTGTGGACACCTCCCAGATGTTAAGGAGGCGACAGTAGGTGTATAACCGTCCGTTCCATCAAAACTGCACTACGAGCTATAACACCAAGGGTCACAAACATGTCGCTGACGTTCTCAAGGACAGGGCGGACATTTGTGGGCCAATTGCCTTGAATGCAGTGCGTGCAGGATGTCTTAGGCAGTTTGTGGAGGGCGTGGGGCTTCGGGATCACTTTGCTTGTGCATTTGCTTTCGAAGGTTCGCCCGGCGAGCTTCACTACGCATCATGCGAATACAGAATCAGGCGCCGGGACAAGTGGGTAAGTAATTGCAGGAACAAGCCGAGTTTCTCGACACATGAGTGGAACTGCAGAGTCAATCGGCAACCCAACGTGCAGAAACCGCCGAAGTGTAGCTAAGGATTCCATCTTGCAACATCGTCACGGCCATCACCACTATGAAGATGAGGAGACAAACACACTAGTGCTGCCAGAACACCAGCGAAGGTTATCTCGAACAACGTATAGATGGACCGATATGCGGTGCCATAGCGCGCAAACACCCAAAGCTTATGCTCGAGTGCAAGCACATTGTCCCACAGGAAGGCCTGAAGCAATGAACCCACCAGGAGACCACTCATCACCATGCAGAGTCCAAGCAAAACCATTGACCTTGGGTGCCCCCGCTGCAGGTCTGATCCCCCCAAAAAGAGAGCCCAAACCCAGCATCCAACGTCTCCACAGGGTATACCTTAAATGAAGAACCCAGAGCCCACTTTGAGTCTAGGTTGCCGGAGGATCCCATAAGAGGCTTGTAGAGCAGTAACCTACAAAGCACAAGCTTTGGGGGGGGGGGGGGGGGGGTGGCTGTCAAGTTCACGCCCCACAAAATGCTCCTAACAGATTTGGTGTAGGGGTTTAGGACCTTTAAGGGTACCAAGTGCTTCTTAACCTTTGGGTGCACGGGACTTGGGGTCTTCACAAGGGAAACCTTGGATGGCCCTTACCCTCTGAAAAGATATTCCTGAATAGGATCCTCTTGAACCCAAGAAGGGAAAATATAAAATATTCCCAAGGGCCTGCCTAGAACCCTGGCGAGGGGCCAGCCCAAGTGGGTAAACCCTGAACCCTGAACCCTGACCCTAAACCCTAAACCCTAAACCCTAAACCCTAAACCCTAAACCCTAAACCCTAAACCCTGGCGAGGGGCCAGCCCAAAGTGGGCAGAAAGGCGTGGCAAGCCCTGATCAGGATTCGCAAGCCTGGGCAAGCATAAGAAATTCCAAGGGCTCGCTGTCATGGAGACCCTAAACCCTAAACCCTAAACCCTAGACCCTAAACCCTGATTTAGAGCTTGGGTTTAGGGTTTGCTAACGGCTGACTTTCTACGCGATTTTGACTCGGAGAAGGTGCCTGCCACGTGCCGTACAGACATTCCCAATGTCTGGTTCTCGGGCTGGGGCATGCCCAGTATACTGAAACACGGTCACTACTAGTAGAAGTGAGGCCAGGAACCTCGAACCAAAAACACATTGCCTAAATGAGGTAACTGCCACTGTTATGACAAGAGCGTGCCATCTGCATACCCAGAAACCTCGAAACAGCCGAAAAATTCGAAGCAGGCGGATGGCCCGAAGCGTGTTCACAGCTCGAGCGAAAGCCACTGCCATCATACTGTCGTCCGCATCAGCAAACAAGAAGAGGCCAATATCAAACGCGGCTGCTACAACGAGGGAAGTGTCAAACCAATTCGCGCAGGCACTGAAAAAGAGCCACCGCTCAAGACCGATTCGCAGCAATAGCTCCACTATGTATATGCAATCGAACACCTCTACTCCCCTCAGAACCTTAACAAAAATACTACTCTTCATATCCTCTTGGGTTTTACATCAACAGAATAACTAAAAAAAACTCCCAAGAGGGATATAGACACAACGTCAATACGTCGGAGTGCGGGGCCCATGTCGCCCAGGTCGTACATCTCTTCCCCTGCGCCCAGAAATCGCCCGACTTCTCTCCCCTGCAGCTCCAGCTCCAGGCACATGAAGACCAAGTTCCTCTACTCCCCCTTAGAACCTTCATGAAAAAATATTACTTTTAACATTTTTCTTGGGTTTTATAGCAACAAAAATCTTTAAAAAATATATCCCAAGGGGGATGTAGGTTCAGGGCTAGTACGACGGCCGCAAAGTAGTTGAGGTGGAAGCCGAGGCAGAGGACCAACCGGTCCCAGCAGCTATCCTTCTGAGTGTCTGAGGGCCTTCCCACCACTGACAGCCTGTTTGCCACGATCCGGTCGGCGGACGGGCTGATCATGCGCTGCAGCGTGTCCTTCAGGGAATGCCATTCATGAAGAGGGGGGAAATAAGGAGGGACCCCTAGAAGGGACCCTTAACCTTATTCCCCTATCTAACCCCTACACATACCTTATATAGCCCCTGTATATACCTCAGTATCCCCTAAACAACCCCGAAATAACACCCAAGGTTCCTGACAAGGTTCCCTCCTTTAGTCTCTTGACATCAGCAAAAGTAGGGGCAAGCGGACCCTAAACCCTAAACCTCATGAAGGCACCCCAAGGGTACTAACTGCGTGGAGGTAGCTGGGCTTATAGCCCCAATTACAAGTCTGCTTAGAACCTACTTAGAGGACGTAGGGGGCTTGTAAGTAGAGTTGTGATTGGGGCTAGAAGTACCCTTAACCTCCAAGTGTTTAAGTCTTTCAATTCCAACAGAACTTGTCTAAACATGTCTCCGGTGGCGTACGTCTTTTGGTAAGTGTCACAGATGGTCAGAGAGAAATTAGAAACGTTCGGACACATGATTCCTGGAAGGAACCTCGTCTGTTGGTTCCTTTGCTGCTGCGCTGTGTCACGAAACGTTTCCGACTGTTCGCACTTTTTCCAACAGAACACGTTGTTCTGCCCAGGACACGAGGTTTCTTCTTGCCACCCTAACCACGCACAACAGGGTTGCAGCCAAGGAGGAAAACTGAGGAAGCGAGATGCCCAGGCAGAACAGTCGGCTCGAACACTGTGTCCTCTATGCAGTGTTGACATGAAATACGAAACCTGCTGCGCAAACTTGTGCAGAATGGCTGAATCCCCTGCAAACAGTGAGTCTGCCTGGCTCTTTGCTGTTGCAGGAGCCTCTGCTGCAAGACTTTCTTCAGATCGCTTCGAAAATTGCAGTGTGTAGCCTGCGTCCCCCCACAATCCTCGCAGCCTCCTGGGCCTATCCTTCCGGGGCCACTATTATTCTCCTAGGGGCCGGGGGCAGCATGACCCTAAACCCTAAACCTTAGACTCCAAACTGCCACATCTGGTCACTGCAGTAACCTCACCCTTCACTGTCGTTCAACTGCTGAAGCTCTAGAACTAGGGGATAGGATGAGGGAGACCCTTGGGGATGTAGACCCTCGCAATAAGGTCCCTGTTTAAGAGGGCCAGAAGAGGGTTGAGAAGGGTTCCCTTTTCAGGTTCCCCCCTAATCCTACCGAGGAAGAACAACGGGCCCGGGCCTGGATACCAGAGGGCCAATCCACCATTGAATGCGGAGATGCTCTGTCCGTGTGGTCGTTCGTCCAGGAGGAAGCATCTTTGGAAAGCCTGAGATGTCAAGTCTCACCCCCCTAAGGTTGTACCCTTTGGGTTTAGGTCCGGGCCTTCTTTAATGCCATCCGCCTAGCTGACCCCTCGGACACTCTGCAGGGAACTGTCTATGTCAAGTCTCATCCTTAGGGTTAGGGTTTAGATTTTGTCACCCTGGCAAAATCATTCCCAAGGGGGATACAGGAGCTGGAGGAAGTCGCTCATGGCACATGGGGATGGCGGAACAGGATCCGCCTCGGGGCCACGATGTGTAGGGTTCGTGATCCCTAAACCCTAAACCCTAATTAGCCCCTAAACCCTAAACATTCTGAGTCCCTTTTTGGCGCCATCCTATGGCCTGCTCCGCCAGTCGCAGTGGTTGCGTTGGCCGGATAGCCAGCATCTGCCGACCCACATCACCAGAGGCCTCACAGGAGGGGTTTTGTTGCTTAGGGTTTAGGGTTTAGGGTTTAGGGCTTAGGGCTTAGGGTTTAGGGTTTAGGGTTTAGGGTTTAGGGTTTAGGGTTTAGGGTTTAGGGCTTAGGGTTTAGGGCTTAGGGTTTAGGGTTTGAAGGTTCATGGGTACTTATAAGCGGGGTTAGAATTACCCTAAGTAAGGTTCTTACCACAGTTACCCTACTCATAGCCCTACTTATAAGTACCCGTGAACCTCCAAGTGGGGACTTCAGCAGTGCTCAGGACTCGTCCCACGAACATCCCCACAGACTACGCAAGCCCACAGGTGCAAAGCAAGAAAGCTCAGTACAGCTTTCTAGGACTCTTACAGTAGGGCAATTATACCTAAACAAATTATACCTAAACCCTAAACCCTGAACCCTATTATCGCCTAAACCCTAAACCCTAAACCCTGAACCCTAAACCCTGAACCCTAAACCCCAAACCCTAAATCCGAAACCCACCCAGGTCCGCGCCTTGGTCCGTCCCCCCTCATGTGTGTCAGGAGGCGCTGGAGGAGTGAAGTCCTCGAGAGCACACAGCCATGGATCCAGGGTTTAGGGTAGGGTTAGGGTTTGGGGTTTAGGGCGAGGGTTAAGGTTTTAGGGTTTAGGGTTGAGGGCTAGGGTTTAGGATTTTGGGATTCTGCTAGGGTTTAGGGTTGGGCTTTAGGGTTCCTGAAACAAGCGACATGCGCGGCCGCTCCTTGATGGCTTCCTCAATGCTGTTGAACCGGTCCATGACTGATTCAAGCCAGCGCTCATGCTCCTCGTCCGCAAACCTTCAGATTCCCAACCCACATTCCCAAGTGGGGCCCGGACTGCGACAAACTTGCACCCGGCAAAACTCCTTTGCAACTTGCTTGAGGGCTTCAAAGGCCCCTGAAAAAACCGCAGACAACCCTACAAAAACAGGTTGCAACGATATCCTTTCGATTTGCCCACGCCTGAGCAGTGACTCTCGAGCAGCCCATGCTTCTTCCAAAAGCTTGGCGCTCGCCATGGCCACGATTTGTTTACTATCCACTTCCCTTGCAACCTTTACCTAGTTGTCCAGTAACCTGGGGGAATTTAAAGGTTAACCTTTGGGATTATAAGGGGATTATACTACCCCCAAAAAGGTTCAAGGTTACCGACTCTACGCTAAGTTCATGTAAACGTAATGTAAACGACATGTTTAACACTCGCTTGGGTGTTTTGCAACATACAAGATGAACATGTGTTCTGAGGGGGCTACAGTCCGTAAGTTTGCAAGCCCCAACGTGCTCCTGCCTGTTCCTGGCATGGCGGAGAGGGCGGGATCTCTCAACTTGAGCATATCAAGGGCCGGGCTCGTCCTTGTCCAGTCTGGGCATCTTCGTCTTGAAGGGGCCCACTCAAGCAAAGGAAAAACCTTGTTTTTTGTTGCATCTGGGCTCGTCGATGACAACCCGAAACGCTAACTAAGAAGACCCAAGCAAAGAAAGCTAGCAAGCAACATCACACAGCATCGCAAGTCACCGCCATTCTCAAGTTCTCAAGGCCTCGTAGAACAGCTTGTAGAAACAACCAGAGCGCAAAAGCAAGGCCCAGCAGTTTTGACCTGCAGTCTGCTTGGCATCACTTGTCTCTTGTATGGAGACGTTGACCGGGACTGCAACAAGTCTTGTCATGATTCTTCCAGCATGTGCTGAATCGTGTTAAGTTGGGGTACTGAGCTCTGAGCCCGACATTCTTGCACTGGCAGCACGTTTTATCAGTTCAACGTGACACTTGAGGCCTTGTCCACCTCCGAAGGCGACTTTGATAGCATCTGCACCTTAGCAGTTGCACGGCGACCACGGAGCATGGTCCCCTATACCCTTAACCCTAAACTCTAGCCCTAAACCCTAAACCCTAAACCCTAAACCCTAAACCCTAAACCCTAAACTTAGGCTTTCAGGGCTAGGGAGGCACCCGCCGCCTGAAAGCATGATTGGGTTTACAGCTTCGCCAAAGCTGCCAGCACAAGGACTTGCTGCAAAAGAGCACAGAAGTAGCGAAGATTTAAATTCTGTCTGTATGTGCGCATAAAAACTACAGAAACGTAGCTAAAATTCAACAACTATGAAACTACATACGAATGACCAGTGCCATTCTCAATATACATCAGAATATATGTGTTTTACATACGTACATACATCTGTATACATGAACCCTAAACCCTTAACCCTAAACTCTATATACATGTACACCTCTATATATATTTACATATATATATATACATACATATGTATATATATATATATTTATTTATTTATATGTGTGTATCTATATATACATATATATATATGTCATTATTTATTTATTGATTTATGGTTTTATGTAGCTTGCATTTAACAAACAAAAGCACCAGGACTCGGGCTCTCGGCCTTGATTGCCTGGCGTGTGGCAGATTCGGATGCGCCAGGGGCTCAGGGTGTCTTTTCTTTGCCGCCCGCCAAGCAGAGCAGCCGCGCTGAAGGGTTTAGGGTTTAGGGTTTAGGGTTTTTTTTTTTATGGCAGCCATGCGCATGCAAGTGCTTTGGCGTGTCTTTTGAACAAGTGGGGGCAGCGCGTCGGCGCAGATTCCAGGAAAGACAGGAAGAGGGGGTCCCTATTAAGGAGGTGTTTGAGGCCTAAGAAGTCTTGCCTTTGCTCCTCCGTGTTTATGCGGTTTAGCCTTATGTATTCTTTAAGCACCGGTAATGCATACTCGGTATTGAGTTCCAGCCAATATCTTTGGGGATGTCCTCTGTGTGAAGACTTCGTGAATTTGATCCTATCTTTACAACCCGGAGAGTATACTACATGATGCACCGGATTGTTGGGCGGTGTAGCCAAGCTATTTGCCAATTGCTTCAACTGGGCAGAGGTCAAAATTTGGGATGGTAGCGTGGGGCGGCCCGCTAGCGTCCATACCCTTCGATTCGAGATGTGAGAATAATATGAATCCTTGACTCCTAGTGCTCTCCGAAGATATTTGTGGTACCATGCGTCTATGGTCTTTAGGTGCTTAATTTCCAGCGTAAGCGTATCCAATCCGTACAGTAATATAGGCAAGACTATGGCATGGAAGATTCTAGTTTTAGTTCTAGAATTGATGCGTGACCTCCAGAAATGTTGGAGTTTGATGTAGGAAATGTGCGCCTTGGCTTTACGAGCTTCTATAGCATGCTTAGTGGCCTTGTCCCATGTAACCTGAGAGCCTAAATATTTAGTGTCAGTGGTTATGGGAACCGGGGAGCCATCGGCAAAGTATAGGACCTGGGGGGCGTCGGCGTTGTACTCCAGAGAGACTGTTTTTTCTTTGTTCAGAAGCATCCCGTATAGGGTGGCTTCTACCTCAATTGCCTTAAGTATGTCGTTCATTTGTGGCTTTGTAACCGAAATGAGAAGCGTGTCATCAGCGTATTCTAGATCGTATACTGGTTTGCCTACCGACCAGGAGTTAGTGGGGGTGCCATGTATGCGGAGCCTGCGGTCTACATCAGAGAAAAGCACTGTCATAACCATGATAAATAAATACGGGCTTAGGGGGCAACCTTGCCGAATACCGGTGTGCGGTGTAGCCTTGGCGGTGTCCCCGAAGGGTCCTCGCGTATAGAATGACTGGTTGGTGTAAAGATCTCTAATAATGTCGACATATTGGCGGTGTACTCCAAGGCGCTCCAGTGCTATGATCATAGAATCATGATCAACTTTGTCGAACGCCATTCTCCAATCTAGGAATAGCAGCTGAAAGGGAGAGCCTGTTTTCAGCGCTAGGTCTTGCAATCTGCGTAGGACGAAAAGTGGTTGTTGCGTGGATCTATTAGCCCTAAAACCAAATTGCGTGCTCCGAAGCTGATGATCGTGCGCTTTAGCCAATCTTTTTTGAAGTAATGCCGCGTAGATCTTATAGAAAGTATTTAGCAAGGAAATTGGCCTATAATTAGCAGGGTCAGAATCCGAACCTTTGCCTTTATAAATACTAACGATAAGAGCCTCTTTCCACTCTTGGGGAACCGTTGCGCTACTGAAGCATTCGTTGAACATTTCCAATAGCTGTTGTTCCCCGATGTAGTCCAGAAGTAGCACCAGCTCATTGTGAATGTTATCTGGACCAGGCGCTTTAGCCTTTCGTAATTGCTTGATAACTTCGGAAAGTTCTATCAGGGTGAAGGGTGGGGGCGGTGTAGCCGAGGGCGCGTATAAAGAGGGTGACTCCCGTAGTAGTTCTCTTTCTTCTGCCGTGACCGTGGTGGGACCCCATTGTACATTGGCGAGGTGATCTGCAAACGCCTCGTGCTGTTTATCCCAAGGTACCGGTCGACCTTCCTTTTTTAGCCTGGATTTTCGTTCTCTAAATCCCGTTTTCATTTTACGGAGGTTCCGCCAAAGCGCTTGTGACCCCTGATTATGGGATTGCAGGACCTGATCCCTTAGCCATTGGCGTTTTACTTTGCGGGCTTGCGTTTTGAGCCTTTTGTATTCCTGAGTGGCCTGAGGGTCTCCATGTATTCTGCGCTGTTTTACTGCTTCGATGTCCGCTGCAAGTGTTGGAGTAATCCAGCACGTCCTGGGTTTGACCGGCAGTTTAGCGAATGTATTCTCTGCCGCCGTCAATAGGGCCTGTGAGATGCGATCCGGCGCGTTTTTGATGATGGGGTGGGGGGCTTGTGCGTCTGCCAAAGGGAGGTTAGTAGGGGTGAGGTAGAAGTGTTGTTCAGAACGGCCACCTATCCGTACACCATCTCGTTTTGCTTGTCCTGCAAGTGCATCCGCCATGTCATTATATTCTTGTCCTGAGTGGCCTTTAACCCAGGTCCATTTGATTGTTGTTCTGGCCTTTAGTAGGGAATAAATACGCTTGGCGGAGTAGACCATGGCTTTGTGCCTAGTCGGGCGAAATGCTCCTGTAACCATGCCTTCCACCCACTTACTGTCGAAGCAGAATGTAACGGTGGGAGGGATAGGGTCCATCGACAGTAAATACAACGCTGCTTCCATCCATGCGGACAATTCTCCGGTATTGTTACTACCTACCACCGCTCCTAGTGAAAAAGGCGAAGTACCCGTAATTACCGGTCCCCTGGCTTTGTGCGTGGGGACTCCATTTATTACCGTAACGAAACCCCAACCGGCTGGCGTTGTACTGGTGCATCTACCTCTCGAGCCTGAACCATCGGTATAAACTTCGACTGGAGGCGAAGGTTTTGGCGGTGTAGCCTCGGTATCCTCTAGATATAGTGCGTTCCTAAATTCTTTGTTGAACTTCTCGCGCTGTTGTCTGGTGGCGTTGTACTCCAGGGGGGGGGGGTCTGGGTTGCCTCTGCCTACGTGCCCCTAGCCGGACGCTGAGCTCTGTAAGAAGTAGGTAATGATCGCTCGGAAAACCTGTATTGTGTACAGCTTTTACTTTTCGGATCGTGGGGAGCCATTTCCTAGGGGTAATCAGTCTGTCCAAGCTTTGAAAGCGAACAGGGTCTATGTGCGGTGTAGCCAGTTTATTGGGAGGGAGGGTATCTAAACCCAGGAACGCTCGAATCTCCGAAACCAGCGAAAGCTGATCCGACTCTGGCAAGGGGAGCGTGGCAAAACGATCCCACATTTGTAGAAGAATTAGGGGGTCGAGAATGAACTGGTCCCAGTTGTCCGGAGGTGAGAATTTATCCCTGTAGGTGACATGCTTGGTCAGGTTGGACTGTTTAAAGGATAAAGCGTCTGCAAATCCAAGGGATTTTAACAAAGAAGTGTAGAATGTGCGGTTGGAGTGCGTTTTAGTGTTGGCAGCGAGTTTGCCCTTACCGTAGATATGAGGCCCCAAAAAATCCTGCTCGGCAGAAAACCTACCTTGTAACCTGACGTTGTAGTCTCCTACCACGTAAACCGGCTCAGGTTGTGGAATTGTTGTTAGGATGTCTTCCAGCATGTTCCAGAATGGGGTCTTACGCTCCTCTTCCTGCGATTTGTCGTGTGGGGCATACACCCCAATAATATGAATGGAGCCTGATTTGGATGAGATGATAATTTGTAAGATACGAGAAGTGTGTTGAATGATGTTGCAAATATGAGGAACCATTTTTGGCGATATAACCGCTGTGACCCCTGACCATTTGTCCTTGTTGTTACCATTAACCACAAAAAGGTAGCCCTGACTTTGAAATGAGTAGTATGACTTAGAGTGGGTTTCCGTTAACATCAAAACGTCGAGGTGCTGGGTACGCATGAGAGCGAGGACCTCTTGATGCTTAAAGAGTTCAGCCATTCCCTGAACATTTTGTGCGCCTATTCGAAGAGAAGAACCATAAGCTACGGGCGGTGTAGCCATTAGCTTTGTGGTCTTTCCCTTCCTAACTCCAATTGCCGATTGTCGAAGAACGAGCCTACGAAAATTTCCGGCATTGGTTGTCTTCCTGTCTTTCCCATGATCTGCTTTCAAGGGAACCCTTCCCTTTACCAGGTTGTTTCCCGTGTTCCCTGGCAATATGTTAGCCCTAAAGGACCCCCGCCACTGACGATAGTATCGTCTACGTAGACAGCGAGCCCCGGGTCCCCGACCTAAAAGAGCTTTGGCGGGAAGGGGTGGGGACAAACACTCTTCGTTAACCACCGGAGTGGCACCCGGCAAGCCTCGTTGAGGCGGTGTAGGCTTACTAGCAAGAATGAAAGTATTCTTTAAATTCATTGAATTCCCAGTGGCCTTGGAAACTTTCTGCCCGACCCCTTCAGGGTAAGGCTGGGTGTGGGTAGGGTGGAGGGTAGGGGATCCAAGCGGGTGACAGCCCGTCTTGTTTTGAACAAAACGGCGTTTTGGCTTTGTAACCTTTTTGGAGAAGGAAATCTTAAGTCCCTCTTGATTTCTGAAACATGTTCTTCGCCCTGTTCGTGGCGGTGTAGCTCGGGGGTTTAGGGTGGGGAGCTCTTCTGGGATAGGGGATTTGGGCTGCCGATGTGCTAAAAGAAACGCTCTTGAAAGTTTCAGCCCAGGTAGGGGAGTGGGGTTTGGAGGTATGAGATCATTGAGGGAGATCTCTACTCTAGTTGCGGTGTTACCATTGAGGGTATGCATCAGACGGTTAAGTGTTCTTTGGAGTACACCTAGATAGTCAATGGTATACCCCAACCTAAGAAATCCCTGACCCGGCGGTGTAGCCTGTGCTGTGTTCTCTGTTCTTTTTGTTCTGCAAGATCTTGCGGAGCGGCAGATCATTGTTGCGGAGCGTGCCATGGTGGAAAAGGCTCCGAAAACGGCCAGGGCATCCAGGACTACAATTAAGGGGTTATGGCGGTGTGGACAGGTATAGTAGAAAACTGTAAATGCTGCTATTAGATGCCAAAGGAGTGCCCTAGATAGGTGGGGACAGGCGGGTTGTTTGTGACGCTTCTTACCCCGAAACTGTGATCTACGAAGAGGACTCCTATCCCAACCAATACATCTACTGGTGAGGTGGGGTTCCTGGAATCTGCTGGGCGTTTTACCCAGGAAGGAAAAGGCGCTACCTCCCTGTCTCTTAAAGGCAGCCGTGCTCAACCCGTACCCGCGGCGCAGCCTGTGTTGAGAAAATTCAAAGGTGGGCAGACGCAGCCTTAAATGTGGGATTAGGGCGGTGTAGTCCGGGGAGCACTGGACTGCAAAATTTAAACATGCAAAAGGCGCTGAGGCCATACCCGCAATGCTGTATCGACCCCGTCACTTGCCTCTACCCTTGCCGGGGCCTGGCTCAGAGGGCGCGGGTCCTTGAGGAAGATTGGCTCCCGCCGCTGGCGGTGTAACCACGGGAGCCCCCTCAAAAGTTCCGGCCTGGTAGTTCCCCACCTTATGCTGTGGGGCAGCTACCTTATCGCAATACTCATCCCAACAATAGCTGACTGCATCAACTTTGCTGATGGTCATGGGGATCGGGAAGGGATTCATGGCCGAATTATAGATAAACGGCGCGCTCCAGTGGCGCTGCGATTTACCCAGGGAAATACCCTTCGAGGAACCTTTGGCTCCGAGGGCTGCCTGGGTGAAAACTTGCTTCTCGGCGACGTCCAACTCGTGCTGAACTCCAAAGGTCAGCTGGTTCCAGCAGTGGGCCCAAAGGTTTTCCTCGTCCCCATGCGGCGGTTTAGCTGACATGAGGTCGAACAACTCCGCGTCCACTTCGAGGAGGCCACGTAGCTCGCCACTCTGCTCGTAGTACGTCATCCGAGCCCAAGCGCGGGCTTGGGGGTTGAACTCCTTCGTGGCGGCGGACTTCATGACTGTCAGCGTGCGCCAAAGGATGACGATGGGCTCCGGCGTTGTACCCTGCACCTCCGAGGAGCGGTTTATCACAGTGAGTGCCACCCGCAATGGGAGCTCAAGCTTGCGCTGGAACTGCGGTGAGGCTGCGGTAACCCGGATGTGGTGCTGCTTGACGGGCGTTTTAGCGTCCTTGTACAGAGGGCATCCGGCTCCACCACCGTAGGCGTCAACGAATGCCTTGCGGCACGAGGAGTCCTTGAACTGCAGCATTGTCACCGTAGACCACGCGTGTGGGCCTGCTGGCGGTGTAGACGGCTCCACTGCGAGGGCAGAAAGACACCAAAGTCTGCAGGAGTCGGAGGCGTTGTAGACGCGCTGGTGGATGAACTGCTTGATGTGCTCCAGCTGCTCCAGCATCCAGTTAATCTGAAAGAGCCTGTCCGCAGGTGCGAGCGTTTTATCCCAGCCAGACGTGACCACTAGCATGGCGCTCTCCTTCTTTTGCTGCTGTCGATTGTCTGAGGCTAGCCACTGCAGAGACTCTTGGGTCTTGAGGATCTTGTCGTCGAGCTTGCCGATGACGTTCTCGACCTGCGTGATGAGGTTGAAGATTTCGGGTCGCAGGACCCCGAGGTGGTAATCGCGAATGGTCTGGAGAACCTCATTCCTTGTTGGGAGCGGTGTAGCCATGTAGGCTTGCATAGCCCCCACATCGTTAATGTCCACGCCCCTTTGCGCAGCCGTCATCTGGTAGGCGATGTCCGTCTCAATGGGCATGGGCTGGAAGAGGGATGAAGGGGTCCGCCTCTCTGTCGGGGGGTCGCGTACCCCTTCTTCCACAATGGCGTCCCTCTCCGCGGTCTCCATGACATGGTCCGAGGGCGGTGTAGCATGGGACTGGACCGTAGACGCCAGGGTGGACGGGGGCCCTCTCTTAGCAGCGCGTCTTGAGTCGAACCACATGTCCTGGCCGGCGTTGTAGACGTCGTGCTGTGTGGCCTGCCTCTGTGCCTCGAGGTGGCGGTAGGCCTGGCTGAGCTCTGCCCCCAGTCCGGAGTCGCGTCCGCTCATGGCTGCGGACGGTTCAAAAAAGCCCTGCAAAATGCCGGGCGTTGTAGCCAACGAGACTACAAGGAAAAAGAAAGCAAAACTCAAGTAGGTGACACCATGCAACATCGTACACAGCGGTAAAGCCTTCAAGCCCCCCACTAACATGCACATGCTCTCGCTGGCAGCCAAATGCCTGGGTTTAGGGTTTAGGGTCTAGGGTAACATATGGGATGAATGAGACAGTATTGACACGCGTTAGACCCAGCATGGGCACCTTGACAGGGGGCAGGCTTGCAACCAGCACATTAGGGCATAGGGAACGACCCACACAGGGTTTGGGGGTTAGGGCTTCGAGCTACCTGACAGGCTCTTGCAGGCCCCCTTGGGCTGCTGCTGCATTGAGGTTGAAGGTGATGAACAGTGCTCCCACGCCCTGGCCAGTCCCACTATACATGGCTGGTTGGAGTTGGTACCCGGGTTATGCGGCGACGGCACGAGAGGCTGCAGGAGTTTAAAGGGCGCGAAGCAGACCAATGCAGCATAGCTCACAAGATAGCTTGCATCGGTGCCACCATGCCAGCCACGCTTCCGTGGACACAATTGACGTCCCTGACCTGGATTGCTTGGAGGTCTCAGAACGATCCCAACTTGCCATGGCACTCTCTGGCAGGACCCTACCTTTTTTGGGACCCTTACCATGGGGTACATTATGTGGGGGAGGGGGGGGGGGGGGGTACCCCTATTTTCGGAAATGCCGAATCTAGAATCTGGGGTTGGAGAAGGTTCAGAAGATGCTTTGAATGGAACGTCGGCAGTTCCCCATGGGCTCCCACTCAAGCAGCCGCAGTGAAGCCCTCCGGAAGCTGTCCTCCTTTGCAGGTCAAAGCGTTCATGAACGGCCTGCGCGGCCCTAAACCCTAAACCCTAAACCATGGTGGTGCAGGGCTCTGCAGCTCTTTGAATCAGGAATCCAAGCAAGGAGTCTGGCAGACTATCGTGCGATCGGCCTGACGACCGCCGGCACTTCGCGCAGCAATGCCGAGGTTCGGCAGAACTGCCATGCCCTGGGATGCGAATCCCCTAAACTAAACCCTAAACCCTAAACCCTAAACCCTATGACGCATTGGCATGACATGCTGTCAAGGAGCTACCCCAAGCACCACCATATCCTACTATTTGCTTAAGAACCCCAAAAGAACAAACAAACTGATAAAAATTTGCTTAAGAACCCCAAAAGAAAAAACATGATAATCCCTATATTCCCCTTCATAAGGAAGAATCTTGTAATTGTTTTCGGGGTACTTAAGCAAGTAGTAGTATCTGCAGCATCCAGCACCGTAGCGCGGGCTCTTTTTGCTTCCAATGTCGCGAAGGCCATGTGATCTGCTGAGAGGCCTACGGCATTTGCCTTCGGCCGATATGCAATCTCAACAGCATGTCCTTGCTTAAAGTCATTTACAAAGTGCGGGACGTGCAGGGCTCAGGTGCCCCAGAGCCTTTAACGAAAGGAAGAGTGAGCCCTGTAGCTGAGGAAGAATTGAAGCCTGATCTATGGCTGAAGGCGTGCCCTAAACCCTAAACCCTAAACCCTAAACCCTAAACCCTAAACCCTAAACCCTAAACCCTAAACCTAAACCCCATCTCCCAAACCCTAAGTAAACCCCAAACCCTAAACCCTAAACCCTACAAAGGGTAGTCTTGGGCTCTCTGAGCAGCTGGACTTTCAAACCCGCGTTGCTCTGATCTCCCCAAGGTCACCTGGCAGCCTCAGCGATCTCGAGTTGAGTTTAGGGTTTAGGGTTTAGGGTTTAGGGTTTAGGGTTTAGGGTTTAGGGTTTAGGGTTTAGGGTTTAGGGTTTAGGGTTTAGGGTTAGGGTTTAGGGTTTAGGGTTTAGGGTTTAGGGTTCGAACTTCTGGTTTTGTTGGGCTAGGGTTTGGTTGTTGCTACCCAGCCAGGGTTTAGGCTTCTTTTTTCTTTGGGCAGAGGGGGGGGGGGGGAAGGGGGGATCACTCTGTGGTTGGGCTCCAGAATGAAAACCCTAAACCCTAAACCCTAAACCCTAAACCCTAAACCCTAAACCCTAAACCCTAAACCCTAAACCCTGACTTGGGTGGAGAGTTTCTGGACTTTGCTTGTCATTTTTTATGTTTGCTTTCTTTAGATTTTTTAGGCTTCTGGGCTTTTGGCTTTTTCCATCGGAGTATTTTCAGGGGTTTCAAAGCTCGCGCTTGCACGGGGCAAGAGGAGCAGAAAAAACCAAAAACACACACACACACACACAAGCACACAAGCACACAAGCACACAAGCACACAAGCACACAAGCACACAAGCACACAAGCACACAAGCACACAAGCACACAAGCACACAAGCACACAAGCACACAAGCACACAAGCACACAAGCACACAAGCACACACACACACACACACACACACACACCCACACCCACACCCACACCCACACAGAACAGTCAGCCCTCCTTTTCACTCTGCTGCCGCGCGTATCTCCTGGGTCCTTTCGATGCTACATCGTTGCTTTGCAGGGCGCCTCGACGCCTGATGGCAACTCCATGGGGTTTAGGGTTTAGGGTTTAGGGTTTAGGGTTTAGGGTTTAGGGTTTAGGGTTTAGGGTTTAGGGTTTAGGGTCAACTCCGCAGCAAGCAAGCGCCGCCGTGTCTCACTCAGGCACTCCTCCTGCCATGAGATGCAAAGCATGTCTCATTTCCGGTAGATGCACGTATACATCTCTCTCCTAGAAGGCCTATTTGGTAGTTCATAGGTACTTCTAAGTGGGGATACCAGTAGGCTTAGGGCAACTATGGTTCTAACCTCATGCCAGGTACTTCTAACCCCACTTATAAGCACCCATGAACCCTTCAAGTAGCGTGCAAAGCGCAGCATGAGGTCCAGGATGTCGGCTTCCCGCTCTGCAATGACAGCAGCAGCTGCGAAGAGGTCGCTGTCCTCGCACGCACGTCGATAAGAGCATGACCCTTCAAGGGTTCATGGGTACTCATAAGTGGGGTTATAATTCCCCTACAAAAGGTTACATGGCTACCCTACTTCTAACCCTACGATAAGTACCCATGAGCCGCCAAGTAGTACACAAGCATCATTGTTGGCAACCTTCAGTCCTCGCCACTTGCACACCTGCACCATGTGAGCAGCACAAAATAACTGGGGGTCCGCATTGCTTTACGGGACTTTGGCTTATGCTCTGTCAGAATTGAGGGTACGAGTATCTTTCTTGATTTTTATATTTCTGCGATCATTTCTTTTGTTTGTTTTTTGTTTGGGGGGGGAGGGGGGGGCGGCGGGCGGCAATTCCCACATTTCTGTCATGAGCATGTAACATCTCTCCCAAGCGAAACTTTCTGCAACCTTACAAAAGTGATGGCCCATGTGGTGAGTGCTTCGGCGTTTCGGCGGGCCTTTTTCATGTGACTATGGGTCAACTTACCTCGAAATCAAAGCGCCGGCAACAAGATCGTGGCCATGAGCATGTGCAACGCACTTGTCTGGCCCATTCTGGCGACTTACTGAACCTTACTGTAAGCCTCCTGAGCCTTGCATGTTGAAGACAGATTTATGTTGGCCACACGCCTCAACGTCTGCGGCCGTGGCTTGCAGGCGGTTTCCAGCCAGGTTACCAGCAAGGAAAGTATGGCCGCATCATCTGGGCTGCCCCTAGCGACGCGAGAATGCTGGTGGCATCGGGTGGGGCTCGAGCATTGACAAAGCAGAGGCAGTCCTACAATGGTTGCAGGTCCTGCCTTTCTCTGCGACCCCGCCGTCCCCGCTGCGTTGGCTGCTGCACGTGCGGGTGGTCGAGGTTGGGTTGAGCCTCCAGACGAGGCCATGAAGACATTTCGTCATTCTTGGGACCTTTTCACTCACTGTCACTGGCCAGCTACGAAGAATAGTGTCCAGAGGCAGGCAGAGAAGCCATGCTTCCGACGCCGTGTGTCTGCCCCTCCGTCTAGGCCGAGCTGCCACAAGAGCTGCTAGCTGCCAAAGCGGTGCCCCACGCCGCAGATCGTCCTCGGCTGCGTTGTCTGGGAGCTGCATGGAGCAACGGAGCTGCGCCTAGTCTAGATTTCGAGGCTGCCAAGCTTCCGGGATGGTGAAGAGCAGTGGTTGGGTCAAGTCGGTCCAGCCCCAGTCTCCCGCCAGGTCGCGCTGGCCAGCAGTTTCCAGCACATCTGAGTGGACCTGAAGTCCCGCCAGGTTGTGGAAGTTGGCACCGGGAGCTGGCGGAATGCCGTATTGGACCAGCAGGGCCGCGTCCGGGGCCGCCGCGTACACGAACGTGAGCTCCTCGCCCTCTAAGATGCGGCGCTCTGCCACCATGACCACACAGCCGTGCCTCTCCTGGAACTCAAAGAGCCCAATACCCCTTAATTATAAGGAATATTCCTTAAATCAGAATGAGGGTCCCTTTATGATTTAGGCGGTATTCCTTAATTAAGAGGTATTGGGCTCTCCTGGAAATAGCACGTCCAGGGCACCCTGCCTCTTCCGGAGGAGCTTTGATGATTGAAGAGGTCGATGAAGGGAAGGAGGCCAAGGGAGGAGACTTTACCTACACTCCCCTCAGAACCTTAAGAAGAACAATCCCTTGGAACCTCAACAAAAAAATAATGTGTATCTTCTTGGGTTTTCTATGAACAAAAATAACAAATAATATCCCCTTTAATATTAATGTTTAGTAAGTAATAATCTTCTTGGGTTTTATATAAACAAAAATAACAACTAATTCCCAAGGGGGATATAGTTGCCGCTTGGACCTTTGAGTGCAAAGTTTCTCGTCACCACCGCAGCCAGGGCCCAAGCTTGAAGGTCCTTGGGGACCCAATGAACCCGAAAAATGTGGGTCATATACCCTATACTACTCTAAATCCTATTAAGGTATATGAACCATAAACCTATGTACCCTATACTACTATTATGGTTTTTATTAAGGTATATATGAACCCTCAACCCTTTTATACCCTATACTACTAGAGATCCTATGAAGGTATATATGAACCCTAAGCCCTTTTAGGGCTCATTTTGTCCGCAAGGGTCCCCAGACATCTCGGACAAGGCTTCCAGGCATTCTGAGTTCACGCGCCGGGCTTCCCTATAGAGGCGCTCCAACATGGCGCTGGCACTCCTTAGGGTTTAGGGTTTAGGGTTTAGGGTTTAGGGCTTAGGGTTTAGGGTTTTGCTAGCCCAGTAACCATATTCTACTGCACTCCTTATAGTAGCCCAGTAGCCTCATCTTCTAATAAGGGTACCCTTTCTCTTGGGGGGCTGCTACTTTTGTAAAGGGAACCCGGAAGCCACCAAAAAAAGAAAAGGGACACGGGGTAGCCCTGGGCTACCAAGACTCAGGATCTCCGAAGGCCACGGGCGCCGGAGGGGGTGCCTCTACTCCCCTTAGAACCTTAATAAAAAAACAATGTTTCTAATATCCTCCTTGGGTTGTATATATAAACAAACAGATAATATTCTTCATTATCCTCTTGGATTTATATAAACAAAAAATAATCATTCCCAAGGGGGATAGAGGTGCAAGGGTGGAGGCAAAGCTGCCGGGGAAGGCAAAGCTGCGCAGTAGGCCCCCAGGAGAGATGAGGAGCCTGCATGGCTCTCTCTTTTTTGGCCGGAGAATTAAACAAAAAAAACAAAAAAAATCAAATAAATATCCTTAAAAAAATAGACCTCCCTCTTGCTTTTCCTCCACATGCTTCTCAACATGTTCTGCGATGATCCTGCTATCTTATCATCCTGCTGATGTTCGTGTATATAAATACATAAATACACACATAAAGAAGTAGATACATAAACAAATAATGTGGCCATCCTGGAAAATCAAGAGGTGTGGAAGGTGCCTGCCGCGTACTCTTCGGCCAAGCGCGCGGCCGCCTGCGCCACCGCCGCGCGGCCCTCTGGGAAGCCCATGACATCCTAGGGTGGCCCTTAAAAAACCTCTGAAGAAATATGCCTAAATAGGTTTAGGGTTTGAGGTTTAGGGTTTGAAAGCATATTCCCGAAGATGATCCTCTTAAAGACAATAAGGGATAATACTAAGATGTCCCAAGGGCCTACCGAGCATCGTACCATTGGCCGTTGCCTCCAGCAGCAGCCGCGAAGGGCTTCGGCGGCTGAGGGGCTGAAGATGACTGTGGGGACGCTAGCGGCACCTCCAAGACGAGCCGTCGAGGAACCGAGGCAACCACCTCACCCTTATTGATCGCCCGGCCCGCGAAAACGCCGAGACCATGCGACAGAACTTCCACGATGAGTGTTTTCGCATCGAGGTCTGCTCCCTGGCTTACCAGCTGATGCCGCAGGTCCTCAACTTCCTTGGGGACCAGATGAACTCCAAAATTTGGGTCATATACCCTATACCACTATAATCCCCTCTAAGGTATATGAACCATAAACCCTCTTAGGGTTCATTTCGTCCACAAGGTTCTCGCAGAGTTCGACCATGGCCAGAGCAGCCATGGAAGCTGTGGCTGCGCAGCTGCCAAGCCCGTGCCCAGGGTCGCCATGACATCGCCAGCTACGAAACATCCCTTCCCGCCCTCGTCTAATCTAGTAATCTAGGGGTTTAATAATTAGAAAATGTTTTTTTTTTTTTTTTTTTTTTTGGGGGGGGGGGGGGGGTTATTGTATCATTATAAAGGGGCCATGAGGGAATGGTGTTTGTGATTAATTATTCCGGCCCCTATATTACTCAACAAGCTTGTCTGCCCTGAAACACCAAAGAATGCTTTGCTGGCAAAAAGCACCCTCATGCTGGCAACCTGCACGCAGCTCTTCCCAGAACGGCCATCAACGCAGGATGCCCAGCAAGAAACTAGAGCTCGACACTTCCTAGAGTAGCCTAGCTTATCTTGACCCCTAACGCTACATGTCGCAAGTTGCCTAAGAGTCCTACGAGGCGTTTTCGAAGACAAACAGGCTTGGGGTTCTTAAGGTGCAGTTAGGTTTAGGTATCCTAAACCCCAAACCCCAAACCCCAAAACCCCACACCCCAAAAACCCCACACCCCTAAACCCCAAACCCCCAAACCCCCTACACCCTAATCTGCTCATCTCAGGCTCCGGGCTCGCTTGGGTCCAGGAGGCTCTCGCGCTGTTCAAGACAGAGCCTCTCCAGCAAAGCCTGGCGCCAGCTGCCCACTATGTTCTAGGAAGGTTAGCACGCATGTCCCTGTATATATCTGTTCACGTGAATATATCTATATATATATATATAAATATGTGGGTACAAATATACATGTATATGTATATATACATATGTGTATATGCTAAGTGTTTCTCTCTCTCTCTCTCTTTGAAGGTGTCTGCTCACGTCTGCTTGTTTTGAAGTTCTGACAGGATTTGCGCATCCTGGGACAGCTCACAGAAGCATCGGTCGCCCTAACCCTAAACCCACAACCCTAAACCCTTCGTTCCCTGAACCCTGAACCCTAAACCCCTAAACCCCTAAACCCCTAAACCCCCAAACCCCAAACTCTAAACCCTAAACCCTCAAACCCCAAACCCCAATTCGAAAGCCTATGGAAGGCCTTGTTGGCACGGGCCAACTCCAGGCAGCGCGAGACGCGGCCTTCTGCGTCGCTGGCATCCAGGGCCTTGCGCAAACCTGTCAGTTTTTAGGGGTGTTAGGGATTTTTAGAGGGTTTAGGGTTTAAGGGGTTTAGGGTAAACCTGTCAGTTGTTTAGGGGTTTCAGGGGTTTTAGGGTTTTTAGGGTCTAGGGTAAACCTGTCAGTTTTTTAGGGTGCTTGGGGTGTTTAGGGGGTTTAGGGTGTTTAGGGTTTTTAGGGTGTTTAGGGTTTAGGGTGTTTAGGGCGCTTAGGTTTCACAGGATTTATAGGGCTTTTGGATCTTTTCGGGCTTTGACTCTCGCAGGTTTAGGATTTTGAGGGTTTAGGGTTTAGTTATTCAGGGTTTTGCGGGGTTGGTGATTGTTCCGACCCCTCTCTCAGGAAGTTTTGGGGTTTGAGGGGGTTTAGGGAATTTTCGGGCAGGGTTCTTGGGGGTTTAGGGTTTTTGGGGGGTTTAGGGTATATGGGGCAATGCATGAACTCAAAATCCAAAGCCTCTGACCAGGGCCCTCCTCATACAAAGATCCGGGCCCAATTTTCGGATTGTTTTAGCAAGCCCTTTTTTAAACCCAAACTGCTACCCCAAACCCTAAACCCCAAACCCCAAACCCTAAACCCCAAACCCGAAACCCTAAACCCTAAACCCCAAACCCTAAACCCCAAACCCTAAACCCTAAACCCCAAGCTCGGATTTCCGGAAATCCACATTCCTCGGCCACAGCCTCCAGAGGCCATCAGTGACCGCCGGAGGCACTCTGACTTGGCCTGAAGGTTTAGGGTTTAGGGTTTAGGGTTTAGGGTTTAGGGTTTAGGGTTAGGGTTTAGGGTTTTGGGTTTAGGGTTCCCAGGTTTCGTAGGGCGCAGTTTTTAGGGTTTGGGGTTCCTTGGGTTCGTAGGGTTCCTAGGGTTTAGGGTTTGCAGGGTTTTTTTCGCACCTGCAGGATCCAACATCCCAATCACGACGGTCTGAAATCACTCTCCACCCTGCACAGCCGGACTCAGCTTAGTTGTCCAGTATCATGGGGGACTTCAAGCTCAACCTTTGGGATTGTATTGGGATTAGAATACCCGAAAAAGGTTAAAGATTACCTACTCTACTACTGAGTCTCACGATAACTCCAACCACCCGAAGACCTGGGAGGACCCTCGCAAGGGACGAGCCCTAAACCCTAAACCCGAAACCCTAAACCTCCTATAGGGGTTCGGGCTTAGGGTCGCCAAGCAGCAACCGTTGGAGTCAAGTGGAGGCTAGCTGGGCAATCTGACTTGTGTTTTGCGGTGCCCTCTCTGTCTGTTCCCCCACCCTAAACCCTAAACCCTAAACCCTAAACCCTAAACCCTAAACCCTAAACCCTAAACCCTAAACCCTCAACCCTCAACCCTAAACCCTAAACCCTAAACCCTAAGCCAAAAGCCCATGGCCTCCAGTGTGGTCTTGGGCATGGGATCGCTCCTGTTGACATTCCGCACTCCCTTTCATATGGGCAAAGCAACTTCAATAGGGTTTAGGGTTTAGGGTTTAGGGCTTAGGGTTTAGGGTTTAGGGTTTAGGGTTTAGGGTTTAGGGTCTAGGGTTTAGGGCTTAGGGTTTAGGGTTTAGGGTTTCCATAGATGCAACTCTTGGTTCTCAACTATTTTGATTCAAGGCACTCTTTGCAGGCCCCGAAGGCGTTGGCTAGCCAAGCGTGCTCTGGCCCGAAGCCACTCAAATCCGTGACTGCCTTCGACCCCTTTCTGGCTGGACCCTTAGCCCCACGCGGTTTCGGGCCCATGCAAGTTCCAGGCTTGTGGGTTATTCAGGGCAGCCCCATGGAAGGCCGACAGTTGACACTACCTTTGGATTCTGGGAGGGTTTTCCAAGAATGCCCGCCATTCAGCAGTGACATACCTCAGAAAGCCTGCGCAGCCAGCGACCATCAAGACATTCCTGAAAAAAAAAAGATTCTCAAGCTCTTCCACCGAAACAGATGAAGACTCAAGCTCGAACTGCACCTCTTCCCGAGCCTTCTCCAAAACCCTATTTGATATCTTTTCTTGCCCTCCCTGAACCCTTTTGCAACAGGCTTGCCATCCTTTTCAGCCCCCTAAACCCTGAGCCGAAACCCTGCTCTCTTTCATCCACCTTTGGGGTTTCGGGTTGAGACCTATCACTTGGGATGTTCCCCCTTATACGAGCAGCCCTTAATAGGGATTGTAGTACCCCCCCCCCCTATAATCCCCATTCATAAGGACTGTCAGCATAAGGGGGGGAACATCCCAACCTTTAAGCCCTAAAACCCTTCGGCAACACTCCGAAGCCTCTGCCTCAGCTCGTTCCTGGCGGCCCCCAGCTCCTTCGTAGGGTTTAGGGTTTAGGGTTTAGGGTTTAGGGTTTAGGGTTTAGGGATTTTCGTAGGGACACAAAGGACTTAACGATCATTAGGACGTTGGGATTAATATAAAGACTTCGGAGGGGATTAGAGATCATTCGGATGTTAGGATTTATTTAATACTAAGGTTCAGTGTTTGGGAATCATCTTACTAATAAGTAATCAGGGGTAGCATCTTAATTCAGGAGACCCTGTAAGCTTGTAGTTTCGGTGGCGACCCCTCCCCCCCAAACCTTTGCACCAGGCTGAGACAGGCTTTCGGCGACACCGGGGGGGGGGGGGGGGGGGGCTCTGTAAATCCCAAAACCCAAAACCCTTCCGAACCCCCCCCCTCCTCTGCCTCGCAGACATGTTTTCGAATTCTTGGGGCTTTTGGCAACTCCCCCCCGCGGGCAGCTCTGCCGCGCTTGAATGGGGGTTTACGAAAATAGGGGTACCTGTTGGGGTCCTTATTATAAGGGAATCCTACTATTAGGGGGTCTATACTAGGGGTCCCTTATTTTCTTCACCCCTCAAATGGACCTGTTTCGAATCAAAGTCGGCCTCACGGCGGGCACCGTTTTGTCTCTGCATTGATTCCGCTGTCCGATTGTCCCCTGTGTCCCCTTTGCCAAAGCTGTCCCTTCGTCTCCTCTGTGCCCTCCTTCCCCAGGTCCCCTCTCTCCCCCTAGGTCTCTCTGTCCCTGGTTCGCTTGGCCACCGTTGTCCTACCACCGCCACTACCACCACCCCACGACCACCGCCACCACCACACACCAACACTCCACACTCCACCACACACCCCACATGCCCTCACGGAGACCGCGATCGATCCTGATCCACGGAGCTCTCCGAGAGACAGTGCGCCTCAGAGAACGCCCGACCGCGATCTAAAACGCAACGACCGCGCATCTGTCGCCACCCTCCCCCCATCTGTTTAACGGAAATTATCGATAGATTCAATACTCCTGCCCACCTACCCTCCTCCTCCCCAATTTACCTGATAAATTGAGGAACCTCCCACTCACCCCATTTTCCTCGATATTTTCAGAGAAAACGAAACTTGGACGGGTTGGACCGGTTCCCTGCTACAGCAGGTAAGAATCAAGCCTTGCTACGCTAGCTTGTGCCATGACTATTTCTAGTGCTATGAGACGATCTCTATGACTGCTTTCGCTCTGATGTTTTTCATCACTAGCCAAGTTGTAGTATTCATTTTGGATTTTATATTGTGACAGTTACTACCAACATTGATATTCCTGCTATGACCATTATCCCTAAACCCTAAACCCTAAACCCTAAACCCTAAACCCATTGCTAGTCGATCGTTGGGTCCTCCTTGCACCGGCGGAGCTCGGCTTGGGCGGCCTCCTTGGCGGAAACCGCCTGGGTGGTTCTCTGGGCTCTCCAGGAACTCACTATACGCCCCTGTTGACTGTGAACCCTGCAACCTTTACACCCTTTTTGCAACTGGACTCCTTGCTGCCAGGATGCCGAAACTCTAAAACCTTTACACCCTAAACCCTAAACCCTAAACCCTAAACCCTAAACCCTAAACCCTAAACCCTAAGCCCTCAACGCAATTGATGCTCGCCTCGCTTTCACGGCTGTAGGCCGCAGCGATTGCCTCCAATGTGCGCGGGTTTAGGGTTTAGGGTTTAGGGTTTAGGGTTTAGGGTTTAGGGTTTAGGGTTTGGTTAGCGTTTAGGGTTTAGGGTTTAAAGGTTCAGGGTTTCTTTTTTGGTGGTGTTAGAAGTACCCGAAATGAGGTTATGGCCATAGTTGCTCACTTCTAACCCTACTTTTAAGTACCCATGAACCTCCAAGTAGAGGAGGGGCGGAAGGGTCGTCTGACGGAGAATGCGACGTGGTGCCTCTCGAAACTCCTCTTCACGGTGCTGAGCACGCTCTCGCAAGTCCTGCCCAAGAGGGTTTAGGGTTTAGGGTTTTTTCAGTCATTGCAGGGGGCAGGCTTGTGCCTGCATGGACAGCTGAGAGCACATTCTTTACCTTCAAACCAGACTTTCGAGGTGCCACAGCCGAGACTGGAGCGTGTGGGCGAGGACTGTGATATTTGGTAATTATGGGTCCCCAGCGTCCCCAGCGACAACTATAGAATCCTAAACTGCAGGCCCTAAAGCACCAGGACGAAGTCTTGCAAAACAGGGCAAAGACGCGCGCGTGGCAGGGCCAGCTGTCAAGGTTAGGTTAAACAGCCATCGGCACTACTAGCCTCGGTCAGGGACCTTTGCCGCTGAAACTTCAAATCCTTGTTGACTGCATGGGCTGAGGGCACTCTCCTTCTTGAAGCATCATCTGCGAATCAATGACATCCCATAGCCCTGAAGCCTACAAACCCTGGTGCTTCAGAGATATGCCTGACCTAACCCTAGAAAGCTTAACTCGCCCTAAACCCTGAGCCCTGAACCCTTCTTCAGCGAGCCTCGTATGCCGGCACCTAGGTCACAAACCCGAAGCCCCAACCCTAAACCCCTTCACGCGCCTGGATGCGTGTTGCATGATCCTCACGCAGCTGCTCTATCTCCGAGGGCCCATATTCGGCCCAGGGATCCTTCCTTGGCTTTTTGACAAACATGCTTGCCTGCATCTGCAATGCAATACCATGCAATGTAACAAGGAAATCTCTGAAACATGTGTATATATATATATATGTATATATACATATATATATGTACACATTTTGAAAGGGCAAGGGATATGGGTACATGGGGGGGGGGTGCCATATTACTATAATATACATATAAATAAATAAATAAAGAAATAAATAAATAAATATATATATATATATATATGAATGCCATATCTTCCTTCCTTCCTCTCTCTCTCTCCTGCACGCTTAGCCCCCCCCGAAGGGAAGGCTGCCCCTAGGGGCGCGCGAAGTCCACGGGTTCGTCGGTTAGGAAGGGCCACGGTTTTGCCATATCTCTCTCTCTCTCTCTCTCTGTGTTCTTCAATTGTTCCTGATAATATGATCTAGTCACATGATATTGTAGGATTTCTAGGGCTTAAACAGGGGATATACACATAGGATGTATGTCGCGGTGGACCCCGCCCCCCCCCCCCCCCCCCCCACCCCCCCGCCCCCCCCCCACCCCCCCCCCCCCGCCCCCCCCCCCCCCCCCCCCCCCCCCCCCCCGCCCCCCCCCCCCCCCACCCCCCCCCCCCCACCCCCCCCGCATACGCATGTCGCGCCCACTTGTTTCATGCGTACGTCGCGGGGGTTTGTCGCGGCTGTTTCGCGCGCTGGTCTTGTAGAAGACCCAGAGGGTCCGTTTGTACCACTATTATGGAATTATGTACCCCAAAACCCTATTTAGCAAGGTTTTTGGGTACCTAATGCCATAATGGTACTACAAATGGACCCTCTGGGAGAGATACAGGAAGCCCCATCCTTCGACCGCAACGGGCGCGCCATCCTGCGCCTTATGCTTCGGCCAAATGCCTGCGTAGCGGCATGGCATACTCGTATTAAACCCTAAACCCTAAACCCTAAACCCTAAACCCTAAACCCTAAACCCTAAACCCTATCATGTCGAAGGTTGCCAATTCCACGATGGGGCTGGTCTCAAAGGCTTGCTGGTCGCAAGGAGAACGGCTTTGTTGCAAACCCTATGTCGCGGAAAGACGCCCCGGGAGCCAGGTACATACCCAGACTGTTGACTCGCGCCCATGTAACATCTGTATCCTACACACTAAGTTTTTTCACGTTTGGGAATAAAGCATTGGGGCATTTGTCTGTGCAGAATTGGTGAGGCTGCCACTTCAGTCACTTAACTAGTTCATGGCTGGGATAGTATTAAAAAATTGAATTGTTATTCCTCACTGGGTTGAAGTACCCTTAAACATGACAAAGTTAAGTCATGGCTGAGACTCGCTGGATCCAAGGTGAAGCCATCGGGATCAGCAAGTAAGTTCTGTCGCACCTCCAAAGGACCGGAAAGGTTTCGTCTCACAATCCCTAGCTGTCCAGTACCTCGGGGGAACTAAAGCCCCCTATTACCCCAAAAAGGTTGAAGGCTACCTACTGCTCTGCAACTAAGAATCCCATGGCTTGTGAAGATCGCTCACTTCCAAGCATACAGGCGCCAAAAAGTCACTGAGTCAACAGAGCAGACGATTCACCACGGCAACTCTGTCTTTAATTTCCTTTTTTGCAGACTGCCTTTGCATTGCATGATGCTTCGCAGCCTTAGGCAGCGAGCGTCACTCGGGGCGATGTACGTTCTGGAAACGGGCTTGTTTTTCTGCGCGCAAGCACATTGAGAAAGTGAAAACTATGGGGTCCACATGGGTCAAAGCCGCGTGTTCCATGAAGGGGGCACTTGCAAACAACCCCATTACATCCAGGCTAACCTAGTTTTCTGTTGCCATCGGTGAAAATACACTGGCCTCAGGTGTGCCTTGCTGCATGTGCCTCTTACATATCATATAGCATGGGTAGTTCAGAACGTGGGTGCCTTATTCCTCGCCCATGTGTCTGAGCCAGTGTGTGGAAGAGCACAATCTGCCACAATCGTGGGCATGCTGTAAAGTGTTGGTGATCAACTTGCCATGGAAACGAAAAGCAACGCAAGACTGCCTGGCCAGTCACTTGGCCGCCGCGCGAGTCAACTGGCAACTGATCAGCAAGGTTTCCTAGCGACGACGTGACCTCAGTCCGACGTAGCAATGAAGCCGCAACATCAGACTGCGGGGCAGGGAGAAACTCGGCCGGCAGGTTTATTGCGGTTGCCTGCTTTGCAGGAAACTCTGGACTCAATGCCTACTAACGGGCCTAAGAGGCCTGACGGGCAGCTGGTCTCCCCTTGAGACAGAGCCCGTGAGGCGGTGCGTTTGCACACACATGAGGGTTTCCGAAATTAGGGGGAGGGGGGGGTACCTTATTCGGGTCCTTCTTATGCAGGGATCTTGCTACTTGGGAATCTACATGAGGGGCCCCCCATTTTCGGAAAGCCCCACAGGAGAACACAGCGGCCGCAGCGGCCGCAGCACAGACTACCTGCAGCTGAGGCAAGCTCCAGTTTCCTACTCAACTTCATGAGGAGCCGACATCGCAGCAGCTGCACCTTTCCACTCTAAGCTCTCTAAGCTCCATAAACCCTAAACCCTAAACCGTGAACCCTGAACCCTGAACCTTTAAAACCTAAACGCAGCAGGTGCTGATGCATTGCTTCATCGTGCCTTTTCCGACCTTCCCCGCAAAAAAGAGAAGGTGCAGAATTGCTGAGGAAGAGGCGAATTTCAAGGGTGGACCAACACAACGTCACCCCCTACCACCTTTCAGTGGTGTCCATCGGAAGCTTCTATTTTGTCAGGATGCCCGGATCTAAGCACAGAGTGGCATCAAGCGAACTGTCGTACACTGCGTCACTGCCGCTACATGGCTCTGCAGCATTTATCGCCAAGCCGCATTGCGTAGAGACTTAAGAAGCTGAAGCTTGCGGACCGCATGTGCCCTCGGAGCTCTTACCTTTCCGGGCATCCATCAAGGTCATTAGTCTTGCATATGGAAACTTGCGTTTGTCATCGTCACAGCCGTCCAAAACATGCTCGGAGCTACAGCCCTTGTAGCTGCAGCGCAAGCGAGCGAAAGAGTTGGATTCGGCAGAGCCAATGTGGGGCATTTCCCCAAAACAGGGGGTACCCCCAGATAAGGATAAGAATAGAATCCCCTCAAAGACAAACCCCCCAAAAACCCCTAATTTTCGGAGAAACCCCCCATGTCTCCTTACCTAGGAGTCCCCATCGTTCTCGGGCGCCCGCATCACTGCGGCAAGTGAGATGCGTGCCAGATGCTGGAAGTGAAATGCCCGGTCACAAAGTGCCTCCAGCCGCTCCTGGAATTTTGGACGAACCAGACTTCCCTGAGAACCGTCATAAAATCAGACTTCCCTTAGAACCGTCATAAAATCTTACTTTTTAAGGGCTTTAGGGTTTAGGGAATGCGGGGCTTCAAGTGTTTTAATGGGTTGGGGAAACTCTCTGGACTTCCCGAAGCCCATTAAAACACTTGAAACACTTGAAACAGTTTTCTGGGGGGGGGGGGTAGTGTTTCAAGTGTTTCAAGCGTTTTGAAACACTTGAAACAGTTTTCTGGGGAGGGGGGGGAAGTGTTTCAAGTGTTTTAATGGGTTCGGGAAACTCCCTGGAGTTCCCGAAACCGATAAAAACACTTGAAACACTTGAAACAGTTTTCAGGGGGGGGGAAGTGTTTCAAGTGTTTCAAGTGTGTTGAAACACTTGAAACACTGCACTTGAAACACCTTTCTGGGGGCGGGCTGGGGGGGGGGGGGGGGGGCGAGAAACCCAGCCTCATCGATGGAGAGGTCGTTCTCCTGGTCTTCCGACATCATGTTCTCCATGACCGCCGTCATGAGAATACCAACTGTACGAAGGTACCTGGAGGCCCCAGAGGGTTTAGGGTTTAGGGTTTAGGGTTTAGGGTTTAGGGTTACGCTTGGCTGTCTGTAGCCGGGATGCATGTAGCTGTAGCCGCCCGTTTCGATCACCAGTCGAACAAACTTCGCGACATCCACAAAAGTGTACAGGCACACACCTTCGAACTCTTGCTCAGATTCTCTTTGTTTTTTTGCTTCCGTCAGGACACAGTAGAAGATGGTATATAACATGCAAAAAACTATAACACATGTAGAACAAAGGTTGACATTAAAGTCCGGTCCAAGACCGATTTTGCCGCGCCTTGAGCGGAAAGCTGTCCCCGATGCCACCACTGAACCCACAATGCCATTTCACACAGCCAGGTGCCTTCGCCTTCGGTGCGAAAAAGACAGCACCAAAGGCATGACTCATTCATGAGGGCAAGAGACTCCTAAACCCTAAACCCTAAACCCTAAACCCTAGACCCTAAACCCTAAACCCTAAACCTTTTTTGTTTTTTTTTTTTTTTGGGGGGGGGAGTTTTCTGAAGCAATAAGAAGTTGTGGCCAAGAGGCTGACTTCCATCGCCATAAACTGCCTCAGGGACCGTCGCACCAGAGAAGTTCGCTTAGCTATGGGTTTACGGTTTAGGGTTTAGGGTTTAGGGTTTGTTTCGCTAATCGGGAGTTAGCGATTCAAGTCATGTATGTTTCTTTCATGTACTGCCTCTGTCATCTTTAATTCCTTGGTCATGTGTTCGTTGTTATTCCTGCTATTGCCTCTCTCATGGTTCGTTTTGTACCTAATTGACTGGTGGTCTGTTGTGGGATTAGCACACACACACATCATGCGAATACATCAGCATCTTTAACAGGGGACTAAAACAAATTGTCATTCGGTGCACAAATCAAGAAGTGTACCAAGTTGTGTGCAGGCATGACCAGCACAAATCGAGAAGTGTACCAAACCATATGGGTTTGGCTCAAGCAACATGAGGACGAGAGCGAAGTGCGATAATCATTGTGGGTTGCACTTCCGTTGCCGGGGATGTTGATTGGGGATTGATTGGGTGTTGGGCTGGCCTTGAGACCTCCTAGGGATCATCGAGATGTACAATCCTCTAGATGATGTACCTCACACTATTCGTGAAAGGCTCTCCCCAACCCCTAGTCACTTCAGCATTGTAACCTCCTCATCACCTGGGCCTCATAATCCTCATAACCTCCAAGAGGTTATGAGCCCAAACCCCCTAAGCCCGCACAACACCATGCAGACAGCAGCAGCAGCAGCCACAGCAGAAAGCAGAAGCAGTGAAGTTGTTTTTCGGTCGATGAGCCAAGTTACATTGCCTGCCGATCTTTTGCAGAACCTCCGGGACAACATATCGTTTGATCTTGGGGCAGTGGAGGACATTCGTGCAGCTTTGACAGAGGTGAACGATCGCTTGAACTACAGAACCAATTTGCTTGGCCAGGCTATGGGCACGCTTGAGACAGGGCATTCCCATATCTTCTCAGGATGTATGTCGATGGAAGATCGCTTGAGATCCTTAGAGGAGGCTTTGCGCGAGCAGCATGGTGTGGTTGAACGACAAAGTACCACGTGGAACAATGAGATGCTTGAAGTCAGAGGATGCTTGGAGCAAGTTCAGGCAAGGACACAGGCACACAGTGTGCAGGTGGACCAAGACCGACAACGAGAAGCGATGATGGCTGCAAAGCTTGAGTCGTTGGAGGGTCGAGTCAGAGATCTAGAAGCAGCCTGCAGTCAGCAAGAAATAAGGCAAAAGGAGCACCATCGCCGGCTGGATGCTCACTCAACGTTACTATATGCACCTACCTTCAATGCTACAGGCAGTGGAGAAGCTGTTGGAGGCACCGAGGCCCTGGCAGCACGGGTGGATGAGGAGTTGGCTAAATTGGATGGAAGGTTGAAAAGTTGGGAATCCAAGGTAGACCTCCTTTCAAGGCCGACTACAGACGCTCATGAACATCGACGAGTTGAGCACTTTACATTGTCTCCTGACGGCCAAGACCGCAGTGAGCATGTGGAAAGGGACTGGTGGACTCAAGTTGGCGACGAGCCCAACAGTGATGAGGACCAGTCTGCAAACCCATGGAACATATCCCAGCCTCCTGCAGTACCACCTGGATTGACATCGCATTTGCACAGATCCGAAAAGGCGAAGGCAGAGCACTCAAGTCAACCTGCGCCCGGTCAATCTGGTAGAGCGCCAGTGACAGGGCAGAAGGAGCAGTGGAAGGTGTTGACGGATTTTCCATCATTTGACTTCACGAGTAAGACACCGTGGGAGTTGGGGATGGCATATTCAACGTGGAAGAGACAAATATGCACTGTGGCAGGCACTGCGTCTGGAGTATTTCAAGCTTTTGTAGAAGAGTGTTTTGCAGAGGCTGAGGATCGCTACCAGCGTGGTGCTCGTGGTGAAGCTGTTGACACACTGAAGGCCTATCATTCGTATCCCTCGGGGTATGGTGGTAGACTGGTGGTTCAATTGTTACGAGTTCTTCCCGAGGAAATAACTGCGCCAGCCGTTGAGATGACGACTCCTACGACAGAGATCCATCCGGTTCAAGTACTGGAGGAGTTGGTAGGACAGGTGCAGCCTGGTGGATGTGAAGAACAGACCAGTTTAACCAGATTTGTGAGATCCTTGGAGGCAGTACAGACGGCGTCTGCGGCTATACAAGTCATCAGACGATGGAAGCTTGCCAGGGCAAGAATACAAACCCTTGGTCTTCCAGAGATTGCGCCGTTTGAACTTCTGCGAGGACTGCAAAACTTGGTCAGTCGTCTCGAAAAGAGACATGAGTCCCTACGCACGCGAATGTCGATATGTCGTCTTGATGCTTCTGTGCAACTAGGACAGACGAGGGGAGTGGATCTCGTTCTCGACAACCTGGAAAAGGAGTTGCGCTTGATTTCTGCAAATGAATATGCTAAGAACAGGACATCTGACGAAGGTGACAGCGTTGCACACAAGGGCAAGGGCGACAAGGGCAAGGGAGATGGTGGCAAGGGCTCAGGAGGAGGCAAGGGCAAAGATGCTCAGTCGAAGGGCAAGACCCTCACTCTTGAGGAGAGAAAGAAGACGCCATGTCCCTATCTCCAAAAGGGAAGCTGCTCGTTTGGGGATAGATGCCACTACAAACATTCACCCGCAAACCCCAAGACGGCAAGTTCGAACTCTTCACAGCCCAAGACCGATGCCGAGAAGAAGAAGATTCCGTGCAGACATCACAAGCGAGGAGGCTGCAAGCTGGGCGACAAGTGCAAGTACTCTCATGCTGCACAGGCCCAGACTCAGGGAGATGCAGCTCAGACTTTGCTGGGAGTTGAGTCCGGAGGTTCTTCGGCAAGGGCAGCGCCGCAACCAAAGGCAACAGCGAGGGCAGCGGCAACAGCATCTTCTATGGCTTCATCAATCCGATGGACAGGGAGTGTTTGCGCAATGTTTCGGGGTGGCTCAGGTGGAGATGAGCCAGATACCGATAGCGAGTCATCTTTGGAAGGTTCTATTGGACAGGAGGAGGTAGACTCCGAGGCATCCACTCCAAGCACGCAACCGGACATGCGCAACGAGAATGACATCGACCTCTACATGGCGGAGGCGCTACAGAGGGCGCAGGAGGAGAGGCAAAGACGGCAACCTCTCTGGAAACTGCATCTTGAACCAATGGAGTATTTGGCGTGGCGAAATAGCGACATTCTCACAACCGAGAAGGCCTTTGTGGAGGTAGACAATCCATACGATGTAGCTGCTGGAGTGTCTGTTATCCTTGCTGGCTTAGATGAAAATTTGCCTCTCTATGACATCGAGATAGGAGATGAGCAGATTTTGTTGGCTGCACATGACATGCTGATTATGTGTGATGATGACGTAGTCAGGCCAGGAATTCTGGTATGGCTGATAAGTATGTCCGACCGAAATGAGCTGCTCATGGCAATGATCGAGACGAACAGGCCGCCCCGGGTGTACAGCCCCAGACCAGCAGTTGTACCTCGTCCAGTACCTCAAGCTCGACGTGCCGATGCTAAGGCAGTGACAGAGGGAGATGAATGCTCAGATGTGCTGCTGGATACTGGTGCAAATGAAGTAGTCCGAACTGCTCCAGGGCCAAAACCTGCAAGGGCAAGACCCGCGCCTTTGGTTCTTGCAGATGGGCAGCAGGTGAATGCTTGGCGCACTCGAGATGGCGAGATGTTCGTGGAGGCTCAGGAGGGAACTTCAACATTGTGTGCCGTATGCCGACTCATACAGATTGGAGTTTCGTTCCTGTGGGATGCTTCTGGAGCACATCTAAAAATGCCGCAGAGTTTGGGTGGTGAATGGGTGCAGCTGGAGATCCGAAATGGACTTCCATTTCTCGACTTTACGCAATACAAGCGCCTACGACCACTTCTGACCAGGAATTGGAAAGAGACTTGCATGAGTGCTGTGAGTCCGTGTGCAAGTGAGGAGCCGCTTGGAGAGCCTTACGTCGTGAGCTGGGAGGATATCGCCAAGGCTTCAGGAGGAGGCAGAGCCGGGAGGACATGCTGCTCAGATGGTCAGACAGGAGCCGGAAGGCGAGGCGGAAGCGCGCGCCCTGTTGGATCGGCCAGGACCGCTGAACTATGTGGACGTCGCCAATGTGATCCGCGCGGCCAAGCTACAGCCAATGATTACCAACCGGAAGAACAAAGTTTCGAATCCCGAAAGCAAGTTAAAGATTTGGGTGTTTGGATCGTGGGTGCAAGGAGGACTACATGGTATTACCAAGATCACTTTGGAACGGCCGTGTTTAGCTCGACTTCTGGGACGCTTCATGAGGGAACAGACAGACAATCCTTTCCTATCCATCGCAGTCTCTGAAGACGTCGTGTTCAAGCCCCACAAAGATCCGAACGACGGAAACATCCCGAACACACTGCTGGGAATTTCTTCTTACACCGGAGGAGAATTGTGGCTGGAGGATGATGACAATGCGCCGGCGAACGACCAGAAGCGATACTGGAGAGTGGTGAAGCCTGGGGAGAAGCCAAGACCTGGAACACCACATGCTACGGCTGGCGGAAGAAAGGTTGAATTCCTGGGAACACGCTACCACGGCACAGAGGCGTACAAGGGATCCCGAAAGGTCCTGATCTCATACACTCCTCGCGACTGGTGGACACTTGGGAGAAAAAATCTCGACACTCTGGAGGCGTTGGAATTTCGAGTGCCAGGTAGATACTTGGATACCCACTTGAGCTCCACTGCGCGACAGATTGCCGACCACCAGCAACAGCAGAACACCGCGGCACATCAGCAGCAGCAGGACAAAGCAGCATCACACCACCACACTCCCGAGCACCAAACCCCTTTAGTTCAGGGACTTCAGGGAAGCTTAGGCGATGGTCAGGGTGAGTATGCTAGGTCTGAGTTCAGGGAAGAGATAAGTGACAGTGAAAGTTTTTCCCATGGTGCCTCGCTTGCGTGTGCTTTTCACTTGAAGTATAAGAACACTTGTGTGCACTGCCAAGCAAGCCGCGGCCATCGACGAGCTCACTACAAAATTCCGCGTGACCAAATCAGTACTGGAGTTATCAGCTTTGATCTTTCTGGTCCACATGACAAGGCACGGGATGGGGCTCGCTACTTTCTGGTTGGTGTTCTTGTAAACAAAGAAGCTACATCAGTTCCCTACGTGCGCGTGCAGAAATCCAAGAAGGCAGTCGAAACGCTTGCAGGGATTAAGTCAATTTTGGCACAGATTCGCGCTGAAGCTGACAATCCTGAAGTGGTGATTCGTGTGCACAGTGACGGGGGAGGTGAATTTACAGCTGCTAACGTGGTTGATGAGGTCGCCCGCGAAGGACTTTGGAAAACCCTGTCCGCTGCCTATGAACCTGAGGCCAATGGGAAGGCGGAGAGACAGGTACAAGCTGTAAAGGAGGCAGCAACAAGCCTTCTTCTTCATGCTGACATGCCGAAGTCTTTTTGGTCGTACGCAGTAAAGCAAGCTGCGTATGAACTTCGTTTGCAGGCACTCAACATTGACAGACCAGTTGGAACACCCACCTTCGGAGATCCTGTTGGACACACACACACACAACAACAGAAACACAGGCAAACATATCAAGCGAAACCCCAAACTAAACAAGCACAGCTCGAAATGGCACAACGTAGCAAATACCATTTCCATTCAACATGTCCAGTGCATCCAACACAGCATAAAACAGCACGAAATCACACGACCCTTGTAGCAGCCAACCCTTTTTATGGGGATTATCCGTGCACCATATCGCGCCAAATGTAGAGCCCTGCAAACTCTAGAAGCGTATGCCTTACTACGCTTATCTTTACCAAATACAACCTCCTTTCGCAGGGGGCATTCGGTATTCCCAGTTAACGCCTACTTGTGTCATTATATATGGAGAACTCCGACAAACGCTGTCAATCACATGAAAGTTCCTCAATAATTAAGAGCCAGATAACCCCTTCCCCCTAACATTAATCGGGGACTCACCACCCCCCTCCCCCCAATAGAAACTCGAAATGTGTTTTCATTATGAGGGGGATGTTTTTGTCCAAATGTCAAGTTTGGGGTCTACAGGGTTTGGGGTCTAGGCTTCAGGGTTTGGAGGGTTTAAGTATTTCTGAAAAAAAATGGGTGTAAACTGAGAGAGAGAGAGAGAGAGAGAGAGAGAGAGAGGGAGAGAGAGCGTTTGGGGTTTTTCAGGGTTTAGGAGGGTTTGGGAGCCCTGAACCCACCCCCTAATTCGGAGTAGGTTTTAAAAGGCGGGGTCGGTTTCTTTTCCCAAAAGTGTTTTGGTAATTGGGGATGTATGTAATAAAAGGGGGAAGGGATTACAACTCTCATCATGAGTTCTGCCTTCTCATGGATTCAGAAGGACAGTCCGCTGCTCTCAAATACATACCAACGCCACTTTCGAATTCTGTTACTTCAAATTGACCGCCCAGCAAAAACACAATAGGAAAACAACTTGTTCATATCTCCCAATATCTCTGTGAGTTCCGGGTTTATGGCTGTCGGTTGGGAAGGTGCGCCCGCAGAGAAGCCCGCCGAGTACCCCTTGGAGTGCCCACCCTCAGAGAATCCTGCGGAGAGTCCTGCGGCAGAAGCCTACGGCGAGGTCTCCGCAATTACCTGTTTGAAAATGGCAACATAGCTGCTTAGCTTCCACATCAGGTAGCTGCACGGCGGGGATGGTCCGCGTAAACAATTTGCTTTTGTATGTTTCCATTGTTCGGTTTCTCTTTTGCAGTCTTGTGGAGTCTTGTGAATGGAAATAAAGGGCCCGGGGAACCCTGGAAAAAGGGCCACAAGCCTACCACTCAACCACCAAGTTAAACCAACCCTAAACCCTAAACCCTTTTTGCAACTGGACTGCGTACAGCTGCCAGGAAAGGATACGACCCCACTCTGAAACCCTAAACCCTAAACCCTAAACCCTAAACCCTAAACCCTAAACCCTAAACCCTAAACATGACATTTGCCGGCCAGGCTGCGATGCTGCACGCCTTCGGGTCCTGTCAGCTCCATGGCTTCGATCCGTTCCCGACGAGCTCACGGTCGCAAACGACGAAGAAGGCATCCTTTTCATGTGGGTAGGGTTTAGGGTTTAGGGTTTAGGGTTTTTGGGTTTAGGGTTTAGGTTGTCAAAATTATGGTCCCTTTTGGGGTACCCTAAATTTAATGTTAGGTGCCGTACTATAATAGGGATCCAAAAAGGACCCTAATTCTGACAGCCGCCCATATGCTTGACAGCATCGTCGTACCAAGCGTGAGGAGCACAGGTTAGTTTTTTTTTGCGAAGCTTCAGAGCTAACTGTGGGCTTCGGCTCACAGAAACCACATCCATAATTGGCACCGCACGTCACATCAACTTCAGCTCCATCCTGCCACCTGCTTTCTTGCATCCCAAGAGCAACAGGGTTTAGGGTTTAGTTTAGGGCAATGCGCACTGCTGCGGAGGCGCATCAGCAACTCACCCGTGGAGTAGGTCATGCCCCCATGGTTAAGGACGATGGCCCCAGAGCACTCCTGAACGCAGAAACTCGGTTTAGGGTTTAGGGTTTAGGGTCCGCGCTAGTGTTCCGGAATATCGGGGTTTTAGGAAAGTAAGGGGCCCCTGATATACTTTTTCAAGTAGTAGGATTCCCTCAAAATATAAAAGGCTATCTGAGGCCATTGCGTTGTGTGGGACGGTGGAGCAAACTTATTCTCATCTCAGCGTCGGTGCCGGGCAAGAACACGTCCTCGGATCTCCGCGTGGCCTTCTCACACAAAGCCAGGTGACCTCACTGGCACAGGGTCCCTAAACCCTAAACCCTAAACCCTGAGGACCATATCCCCACTCGCATTCCCTTTCCGACCGCTGAACAACAGTTCCAAGATCCCCCCCCCTTCCTCCCGATGAAGCGAAGGGTTAGGGTGTAGGGTTACACTGCGCACGCTCGGACAAGCCAGGCGAGGCAAACACACACACACACACTGTGTCTCGAAGTCCCTCTGTGAAGCGAATTTAAACCCTAAACCCTAAATCCTAAACCCTAAATTGGGCCTCTTAGGGTTTGGAATGGTTTACGGTTCTGTCCCGCGGAGCCATGCCGAGACGCAGAGGTTTGTCATCAACCCCGTGCCGTCGTAGCGCAGTGCGAATTGCATCCAACGCCGGCTGAGCAGCACATCTCTGAACATCTCCTAAACAGGATGGGCTCTTCGGCCTTAGATTGCCCTGAATTAATGAACCCTCTTTGAAGGGCCTTTTGAGGGATTATAGGGTATAATAGCCCATCCTGGTAAACAGGAACCATGTGAGTTTCGCAAACAGACCATTCTCATACTCCCGGCACCTGTGACATGCCATTGCACGCATGGGGCTTGGGTTTCTGCTTTACTACTATTTGCTTAAGAACCCCCCCCCCTCCCCCCCCAAAAAAAACAATAATAATAATAATAATCCCTCTATTGCCCTGATAAGGAAGAACATTTTTATTGTTGGGGGGGGTTCTTAAGCAATTCCTAGTTTAGGCTTGCATATGAGCTTTGCAAATGGTCCCCCGGTCCTCATGCAGCTGCGCTTTCAGCCTCGGTCCAGGCCATGCTCAAGGGTTTAGGGTTGAGGGTTTAGGGTTTAGAAGAGCCAATCTCAGAATTGCTTGCCGCTTGAATGCCAACGAGGTCTCAGTGGACATGGGGGTTTACGAAAATGAGGGACATCTGATGTAGACCCCCAAATAGTATAGGATTCCCTTATAATCAATAAGACCCCAATAAGGCTAAGGTACTCCTAATTTCGGAAACCCCCAAAGGCCTCTCAGGAGAAGATTGGAGGATGGACACGTCCTGGCCAATGGCTGCATTCAACGAGATAGAATACAGTATACTTGAGGAATTGCGAAGTGATCAGACAAAATTCATTATGAGCCCCCTTTTGCAACTAGGCGTGAGAACCAGCCAGATCGGAGCCACCAGTCATGAACGCAGATGGACCCTCATAAGAGGAGAGGCAACAGAAACTCGACCTGTGAGAAGGCAAGCTGACTACGTTCTCATGCCACAGTCCATTGTCTTACTTTCAGCAGCCACTGATCCGACCCTAAACTCAAGACGGTTTAGGGTTCAGGATTTAGGCCCCCCCACCCCCCCCGGGGAACCTAGCCCGTTCTCCTCGAACTGGTCCCTTTTGCGGGGTCTCTCTGGGACGCCTTTCACATTTCCTCGGGTTCCTGTTGAAGAAACCCCCCTGAAATGAAGACCCCCCAATATGCCCCCCCTTCACGCGTGGTCCTCCTCGCAGATGAAATGTGTCTTGTCGGCTTTCTCGCGAAAGGCAGCCAAGCAATTCTTGAGCAGCGTCGCCGGCAGCCGTCCTGACTAAGATCTCATGATCTCGGAACGCACTGACCCACACAAGCCCTACCCAAAACCCTAAACCCCAAATCCAAACTCAGAAGTACGGATCCCTTGAAGGGCGAATGTAAGAGCTCGCATCCGAACCGCAAGTGCTAAGTGCTGCTAAACCCTAAACCCTAAACCCTAAACCATCTAAACCTGGATGGCCAGCGGCTGTCGCTGAAGAACTGTCGCAGCTTCGCTTCCTGCGAGGGTGCTCTAACACTACTAGTTGCTTAAGAACCCCCAAAAAATATTCTTCCTTATTAAGGGTAATATAGGGATTATTATTTTCTATTAATTGCTTAAGAACCCCCAAAAAATTAGAATATTCTTGTTTATTAAGGGTAACATAGGGATTATTATGTTCTATTCTTGTTGGGGTTCTTAAGCAAATAGTACAACAAGCAAGAAACAGAGCGCTTCAAGGGACGAGACGTCGCTGGCAAAAATGGATGCAGCAACAGATTACACCTCTGTAGCACCTCTGCCTGCTCCCTTGCAATTGCTTGCAACGGCGGCTGCGACTCTATCCCAGCATGGCTGGGCATCTGCCTGCGTTACGGTGCTCACGCGGACAGCTCGCAGTGCGTTCACCTCGCTGGCTGTGACTGTCTGCAAGCATCGACAGGGCTAGGACAAGTCTTCATCACTACTATTTGCTTAAGAACCCCAAAAGAATAAAAAACTAGTAATCCCTATATTACCCTTAATAAGGAATAATATTATGTGTATTTTTGGGGGGGGGGGGGGGGGTTCTTCAGCAATTAGTAGATCATGCTCCAGGACCTCTTGCAGCTTCGCTGGGCATACATGACGCACTCATGATGCCACCAGATTGCTGTGTTGGTGACTCCAGTGATGAAAGAAGAGATCCTCAGAATGGTACACGAAGCCAATCCATGTACGACATCACACCAGCGTCTGGCCCAAGCACATCTGCATTCATGAACATTCCGTTCGTCCGCAATGAGGCGCGGACACTCCGAACCTTAGGCACATGGCTTCCACATCCCCGCCGCCACACACAACCCCAAACCCTGAACCCTAAACCCAAAACCCAAAACCCAAAACCCTAAATTAATGGGAATTACACCGAGCTTGCCAAGCTTTCGCCCAGATACGCAAGGAGAACTGCCTCGGCGTGGCAATTTCCAGCTCAGGAAAGCGTGTATATTGCTTGAGTTGGGATATAAATACCCTAAATAAGGTTGCAACCAGTTAGAGTAACCCTACTTATAATCCCACTTACAACTACCCATGAACCTTCAAGTATACGTGAGACTTGGGTTGACACAGGCTGCGAAGTCAAGCGTGGCTCGGCTGGCCAGACATGGGCCAAACGGGCCACAGGGTACAAACATGACTTCGGAGTTTCGATAGGTTCACGCCCCGCCAGGTCTACATAGTGGCATATAGGTTCTACGGGTATATGGAAATTGCCGAATACAAAACAAAAGTTACAAGTATATAGCGTATGTAACTATAGT